GGTGTACCCTGGGTATGCTTTAGCTCTTCATCAAAGAAGGCCGCCGATACCAGGCCAGAAACTGGGTTTAAGGAAGCATCAGTGAAAATGGGACTGTATCCCGCATATGCTGTGGAAAGTATATCTCTAAAGAGAGTTTCAGGAGAGTCTTGAGTAGGGCTCCGGAGGTGGTGTCGTGGAAAGGGTTGACCAGTGCCAATCAAAATACGAAGGTTTCGTTGTTCTATAGATAGATTCAAGCAGGGGAACGATCTGTATGTAAGTAGAAAGCAAAGGAAGCTTGTTAAGGTTTTAAGAAAGAGGATTTAGCTTTAATTTTCTGTTGAGGGTGTAAAGAAGGGGAATAAGGGGATTCTCCTTCCATGAAAAGTTACGCATAATAAAGGAGTTGGTCAGAAATATCCTCCGAAGATCCAAAGGGGGCTCAGCCGCCTCCGCCAAGAGGACATGTATAGGAGTAGATCTCATGCAGCCGATAGCCATCCTGAGGGCGGCAGACTGAACCCTGTTCAGACACTTCAAGGAAGTAGGTGAGGAGTTGAGAAATAGCGGGGAGCCCCAATCCAATATTGCTCTAATTAGATTCTTATGCACCAGCAACGAAAGCGAAGGTGTAATTCGAATTACACGAGACGCGAGAGATTATTCTCATAATACCGAGGGCCTCCGAGGCCTTGTTGGCGAGCATTTTTATATGGAGTGACCGGTTAGCTTCCAATCCAGAAGAATCCCGAGATGCTTCATGGAGTTATCGCAGGTAACCACCGTGGTACTTAGTTTTATAATAATGTTTTCGAAAGTAGAACGCGATTTCGAAAAAATACTACATACTGTCTTATGAGCTGCCACATCCATACCGATCGATTTGAGCCAAATGAAAAGGCTCTCAAGTGCTGCGGAGATGTCGGGGCCAAGGTTCTCGGTGGAAGAGAATCTCGTGTAAAGGAGGAGGTCATTTGGGTGTCAGTGACTAAAGCTGCCACGCAGTCCACCGCAGATCTCTGCTTTCTAAAACCGTACTGGTAGGAAGAGATCAGGCCCCGCCTCTCCACCTCGTGCTCCATACGTCCCTGTATTAGTTTTACCAATATCTTTGACACTACCGAGGTGAGAGCGATGGGGCGGAATCCCTTGCCACCAGGCATCGGAAGAGCCATGGCTCTCATGTACAGCCAGGATTATGGATAGGATAAGTGAAGGAGCATTCTATTAAAAACTATAAGCAACTATAAGCAACCTGGGCCACTGGACCAAGGAATTTAATCATGTCAGCTGTGATGCCATCCAGACCAGCAGCCGATTTTGATGTGGATGTGGAGAGGGCGAATTGGAATTCGTTTTAGTAAACGGTGGAAAATCGACTCCGAGAAGAACAGGAGTGGGCATTAGTGGGATGTCCACGGGAGGAACATCCTCTCTAATCAGATCATTACGGAATTTAGTGTGAGCGTGAGTGGAAGGGTCTGTTGAAGCATTGGTATTGAACTGACCAGATCGTGGTGATAAGACCTTCACTGTTCTCTAAAGTGAGGACATACCTTTAGATGGGGACATATTTTCACAAAAGTTTCTAAAAGCTAAGGTCTTTTAAGCTCTGAGGGTTTTTTTGATTTGTGATATCCCCATGCACTTCTTTTATTAAAAACATGAATTTATTTGGATTTCTTTCAACATTTTTTTTCAATCAAAAGGATAAATTTCACATAAGTACAGTCGTGTCTCATCATTGCAAGAGTCGTGAAAATTTCCCACTCTTCACCCCTCTTAAACGCAAGACACTTATACCACGCCTACTTTCTAGCTTTCCAGGGATGAGCATAGGTACACGGAAAAAATCTTGGGTGACGTGCCGTTCCAAGTAGACCGAAAATGTACGAATGCGATACGACTTTAGTTTGGTGGAGCTGCATTTCCAACTTGGGCGTGCTGAACGCCCAAGATGCGGCTATTGCAGTCCCAAGGTTTTGAGTCTCAAATCTTGGGTGTTCAGCGCCACCAACATGGGAACGTAGATTTCCCGAATTGAGAACGTAGCACATCCAAACTATAGTTCCTCCACTTTCCGACGATTGGGATTGCACGTCACCCAAGATTTTTTCCGTGTATATTCTTTTTGAGTGCCCTCTCTCATTTGGAACCTTCATTGCTGCCCAACTGTCGACACTGACAGTTGATTCTCCGAATTCCGAATATTGCAATAACGAGACACGACTGTATTGGGAACGGTGGTTTTGTAACAATCTAGTGACTTTGACCTATTCTCTCCCTCCATTTTGTTTTTCTACTCTTTCTAACCTGTGAATTGAAGAGAGAGAAAGAAAGAAAATAGGAGGGGAGAATCACAAGGAATAGGCCAATACAAATTTAAAATTTGTATTATTCAATAAATCCGTATAGTAAACCGACTCCAAACTTTGTAAGATATTTTTATTTCGTAAAACTTTTGATATATGTAAAAAAAGTGTGTTTTCTAATTTTCAAAAAACGTGCACGTACATCCTTAAATACTTCAGTATATTTTTTCTACTTTGAAATTAACTTTAATGGTTATGTATCAAATTGCATTTGTTTAAATTTCTCGAAATAGTAATAAATGGACTTATCCATTTTTGGCCGCTTACTCCTCAAGACCTCAAATAAGAAGTTATTAAATATTTTATTTGACAAAATTATTCAAGTTTTGAATAATTGAATTTAGAAATCAGTGAAAGGTCAGGGAAATACAGAATAAATTAATATTGTTTTGTTAGATTTTTATATATTTAGTAGTTATATTATTAATTATTGTTTCTATGTCCATTGTGGCTTTTTTTCGAATTAACCCCAAAAGAAAAAACGAAAAATTATGCTAGACAACACCTACCATTATCATTAATTACCCCACATACATTGCTCTTCTCTCATCCATATCACACCCTGCCCACTTTCATACAAAATCCATTTTCTTATCTGTCGAGTCCTCCATTCATTCACACCTCTCCAACACATGCTCCTATTCTTCCACCTCATGTCCACATACTCTACACATTTTCTCTTCATTCTAAATCTTACTACTCTACTCCACTTTGACTCCCTTCCTCTGCTAGTGAGATATTTTGGCACACCCACCCCCTTCACCATTCTGTACCATTTATTGTATCTCAACTTTTCCCTATATTCCTCTATCTTTCTTAACCAACTGTACGGTCACTCCCGTTTTTCATCCCTCCAGCCATCCTTATCCCTTCCACACCATACTTTAATATAAGCTTTCCGCTTCCATCCCGTCGAAACCAGCTGCTTTGTTCTTTTTCAACCCGTCGATTGCATTGTCCACTCCTTTTCTTTTTCTTTCTCTATTTATCACTTCCCATTCCCTCTTTTCCCTCAGTGCCTCTTCGACCTCTTCTAAAAATTTTCTTTTTTTCGTTCTATCATCCTATGTTCATGTTGCCTCCTCTTGTACTCTTTTCTATCTATATATATGACCTGGTCTATGAAAAGGGACCTTACGTGTCAAAAAATCATTTTTTACTTTTTTATTGATTCGGATAGGGTTTGAAACGCTCTTTAAGATGGTGAAAACCAAAAAATCATAAGTTGATTAAAAGTTTAAAAAAAAAAATTTTAAAGTCAGAAGAAACAAGAGTAAAAATACGAAAAAACTGATTTTTTGTTATTATACAAATTAAAATAACAAAGACGATAATTTTTTATTATTTAGAAAAGCTGACAGTTTCTTTGACAACTGTCAAGAGTTAAAATTTAAATTTGATATCATATTCGTAATCAGCGACCTCAAAAACCTTATTACTGTCTTTTTTACAAAAAACGATCACTTTTTAGAGAAGTTGACAGCTGTCAACTGTAAAATTGTCAATTTAACATCATATTCGTAATCAGCGGCCTCGAAAACCCTTACAAACATGTGTCACTTATTTATACTTATTGTTGCTAGTTAGAAAACTTAGATTATTTTTTCTATGTTTGGGGAGTTTGTTATTAATTTATATAAACAATTATTAAAAAAAAATTTTCATTACTTGTATGTTTTTTATTTTGATACTGTGATTCACGGTGAAGAAAATAAGCCTAAATTGATTTAAAAAAATTACAAGGGTTTTTCTAAGTTAAACTTTAACTGCTGTTTTCTCGAAAACTTGTTTTCGCACGTAAGGACCCTTTTTACTGTCCAGGTCACATATCATTTCCTTCACACTGAAAAACTGTTCGGTTCCGGCAACAAGAATTTGGTTGTACCAACAAAATCTTTTATTTGAAATATGTGCAACAAAACCGTTTGGTTGAGCGAACCAAATTTTTTTGTCGAACATCTACTTTTTCCAAAACAAATTTCAACATTAGTCTTTTGGTATAAAGATGTAAATTTATCAATAAATACTAATAATATTATGAATTGAGGTCAATAATATATTGTTGATCTAACTGCTTATGTTAGAATATGAAAAGAAAGAAAAATAGTAATCTCAACAAAACGATTTTGTTAACATTACAATATTATTCTTCTCAGTGCATAGCATGCTTACTTGTCTCGCATTCCTTATCCCCCCTTTCAACCTTTGTACGGCTCTTACCATACTTTCAATTAACCCTTTCGTTAACCCCCGCTTCCTCTCCATTCTCCATCCTTTTTTCGAATTCTCTTAGTAACTTTTCCACCGTCCACTTGCCCATTTTTTCTACCCTATCTTTCTTTTCTCTCCTCTTCACTTTTCCTTTTAGCTTACAATAACCGCGAAATGATCTGATCCCAGCTCCATTATTCAACCTTATTATTAATTATTGTTAATTAATATTATATATTTTTTATAATTATATCTAGTTAAAAATAAGAAATATAATATAAATATAAACTACAAATTTGAAACATGAAAAAAACCTATTATCAGTATTTAAGGGAAGGAAAAAAACCTTAAATATCTTCAAAATACCTTTTTAAGATAATAAATATTAATAGTAAAATTCTAATTTTACTGGAATGCAAAATATTTTTAACTTAGGTCAAACAAAACTTAGTTTAACTAAGGAAAAAGAGAATCATTCAGAACCAAAAAAGGAAGTAAAAACTGAAACACCAAAACGAAAGAAACCAATTTTAAAGGACAAAAAGGAGACTCCTCAAAGAAAAAGATCTATCGACGATGAGGATAGTGAAGAAGTGAGTCCTGTGAAACCAAAAAGGCGGCGACTAATAATTCCAGATGATGACAGCGACTCTGATGATAATTTCAAACCAGGTTAGAGAAAAAAGACAAGTTCTTCGTATTTCAATGTAACTCAAACCCGCAACGTTTTTAAAAACGAAAAAACAAGACAAATTTTTTTTTTCAAGTTATATTCATCTCTACTTTTTGTGTGCGTAAATTTAAGACATACTTAAAAGTCATTTTCTTAAAAGTAACATCAATTTGAAGTCAAAATAAAATAAATCGTTGCATTATTTTTTAAAAAAGTCGCGGACTGCAGCCTCATAATTATATATCACTAGAGAGAATTAACTTAATGTACAATTGAATATTTTTTAGGTTCTGAAAATGAAGACTCAGATTCTGGGTCTAATAATGCTTCTGAAAGTGATCCGGAAACACCAAGTGAAGATGAATCTCCTCAAGTATGTTCTAATATCATATATTTTTTCTACCTAAAACTTTTTAATTAAATTATGGATTTTTATATTTACCTTTAAGCCAGTGAAGTTTAAAAGATTAAACAAATTCTACGTTTAATTTAATGTGTAATATATTTCTTTTTTTCAGAAAAAGAGGAAGATTGTCAATAAAACACCACGAGCCACAAAAAATAATTCACGAGCTAAAAAGGCTGTTGTAAGTAAATTAAAATTACATCTTTAAAAGTTACAGTGGAACCTCTGTTATCCGAATGTTTTTTTGGCCTCCCGAATCTTTCAAAGCAAAATAACGAAATTTATGCCAAAAAAATCTTTAAAAATCCTGTATTCTCTGTTTTATTAAAATATTATTAAGAATTAATATATACATATATGTATATATTACATATATGTGGAGGTCCACATGAAAAGGGCCCATATTGTCAGTTCTGAGTCAAAATTTCTGAACTGGGCCACCTAAAACAATCTTTTGAAATTTTCATTATGTCTATACATAATTTGTTACAGCCGGGTGATACAAAAACATTCCCGGAATGCGTTTTCAAAAATTTTAATTTTTCAATTAGTTATAAACAATTGAACTTTAAAGTACCTTTTTAGAAAATTTACCATTTCTTCGGTGTTTTTTGATAAAATTTAAAAATATTTGGCAGAAATGTACAAAAATACTGCCTCTATTAATAACAATAAAACATTTAAAAATTCATAATTATTTATGCAAAATAAATTGTTAATTAATTAAACAATTAAAGTTTTAAGTGACTTCTGGACTAGTTACAAGAAAAATTCAAAAACTACTGAAATCTATTTTTTCTACACTTTAATTTCCAAAAAAAAAATCTTAGTACCTTTAATAATTGAGCAAATGACATAATTTTAAAGAGGGGCGTGCAAGCGCTCGGACTGCCGCGGCTGCTGCGCTAGGACGCGTCGAGACACGATTGTTCTTGAAAAAACGTTTATTTAATACGCTTTTCTTATGATTTGATTTTTATTAATTTTCGTTATTCCTTTTGCAATAATATCTATTTAATTAACGTTCGTATTTTTTGAAAATATATTCATTGATTTTTTGTACAAGAGTAAAAATTCCTGAAGTGTAACAGTAAATTTTGAGATTCACTGTATTTACTTGGTAATACATGAAAATGAAACATAATTATGAGATAATCAAATGCCTAGAAGAATTTTTCAAAAAAATTAAATTTCACTTAATTATAAACAATTGAATTTTTTTGCAGTGTTTTATTAAAAAATTAATATCTTGGAACAGAATAAACGAATCGTTATAAAATTTGGTATGTACACTCAGAAAATGGTGTAGTTTCAAATGAAATAATTTAAAAATCAAATTGTTTAATTTTTGTAATTGTTATTGCAAATTTAATTGTTTACTTACAAAATAAACAATGTTCTTAACGTCGTAGGAAGTTTGTTATAAACAAATTAACTTGACAAATGAATTGTTCATTTGTTTATAGTCGAAATGGCATCGTTTTTTCTAAACGTTTTAAAATTGTTACCAATAATATTTTCATAGACATTTTTTCTATAATGAAGTGAAGAGTTCATTTTAAGTTAACTTTATTTGTTTCTATCATAAACAAATAATAAACTATGAAAAATGTCCATAAATATTATTGGTAACATAATTTTAGAACGATTAGAAAAAACGATGCCATTTCGACTATAAACAAATGAACAATTCATTTGTCAAGTTAATTTGTTTATAACAAACTTCCTACGACGTTAAGAACATTGTTTATTTTGTAAGTAAACAATTGTAAGGAACGGGGTCCAACAGTATAATCGTCACAGGGCCTAGCGAAGAGTAGGGAGAAGTTGTAGACGACGATGAAATTGTCGATTCATGTCGAAAATTAGTGGTCGAGGGACCAGAGCGTGCGAAGCATGCGAAATAACTTATCAATTGTGTATAAAGTAAAATTATAAAAACGTGTCAAGTGTTCTGGACGAGACGCTAAGCACAACGCCCGATTGGGGTAATTATTTGTTGAATAATAATATGTGAGTTTTATGTAATAATCCTATATAATTGTATGTGTTCTGAATTTAAAGCGTTTGGTGAATATCTATAAATCATCCGTGTTTTCGTCGATGAGCCTGCACAATTTATACTCACCGTAAAGAATCATTTCGATAGAAATTGTCAACTAAATCTGATATACCGGAGAAGCGTCTACATTGATCAATCTTCCGATTTAGATATTGGTCTTTAAATATATGTCTCCGTTGGAATCTTTTTGGATTTGGCCAACCGAAAGTTCCTTGGACACGCTCTCCGATTAAGGAAAAATCAATCAGAATTTTATTATTATTATTTGACTTCCATCATTGGTGGAAAATTGTTATTATATTGACTCTGGTGAGTTTCTTATTTTGTCTAATTATATAGTGATATATTCGTCCAAATCAATTCTTTCGCTCCCTCGATCACACATTCTTTCTGATAATTTGTAAAGTCATTTATGAATCGAATCTTTTATTGTAAATGTAAATTTATATGTTTTTGAATGAATGTGTATGATTGAAATAGTTGAATGCTTTGTTTGTTTAATATTAATTGTAAAAAAAAAGGAAATTACATTATAATAATTTTAAATTAACTTGAAATATAACTAGACTGATTTTCGTCAATGAATCAACGAATGTAATTAAATAATATTGATTTGAGAAAATATAAATCGATTCAATTAATATAATTTTTGAGAAGGTCGTCACATTAATTTCCTAAAAACAATACTTAACAAATAATTTGTTACACAATTAAATTTGCAATAACAATTACAAAAATTAAACAATTTGATTTTTAAATTATTTCATTTGAAACTACACCATTTTCTGAGTGTACATACCAAATTTTATAACGATTCGTTTATTCTGTTCCAAGATATTAATTTTTTAATAAAACACTGCAAAAAAATTCAATTGTTTATAATTAAGTGAAATTTAATTTTTTTGAAAAATTCTTCTAGGCATTTGATTATCTCATAATTATGTTTCATTTTCATGTATTACCAAGTAAATACAGTGAATCTCAAAATTTACTGTTACACTTCAGGAATTTTTACTCTTGTACAAAAAATCAATGAATATATTTTCAAAAAATACGAACGTTAATTAAATAGATATTATTGCAAAAGGAATAACGAAAATTAATAAAAATCAAATCATAAGAAAAGCGTATTAAATAAACGTTTTTTCAAGAACAATCGTGTCTCGACGCGTCCTAGCGCAGCAGCCGCGGCAGTCCGAGCGCTTGCACGCCCCTCTTTAAAATTATGTCATTTGCTCAATTATTAAAGGTACTAAGATTTTTTTTTTGGAAATTAAAGTGTAGAAAAAATAGATTTCAGTAGTTTTTGAATTTTTCTTGTAACTAGTCCAGAAGTCACTTAAAACTTTAATTGTTTAATTAATTAACAATTTATTTTGCATAAATAATTATGAATTTTTAAATGTTTTATTGTTATTAATAGAGGCAGTATTTTTGTACATTTCTGCCAAATATTTTTAAATTTTATCAAAAAACACCGAAGAAATGGTAAATTTTCTAAAAAGGTACTTTAAAGTTCAATTGTTTATAACTAATTGAAAAATTAAAATTTTTGAAAACGCATTCCGGGAATGTTTTTGTATCACCCGGCTGTAACAAATTATGTATAGGCATAATGAAAATTTCAAAAGATTGTTTTAGGTGGCCCAGTTCAGAAATTTTGACTCTTCTAGTTTTCGAGATAATCGCAATTTAGTAATTTTGGAGCAAAATCTTAATTTTTAAAAATTTTTTATTATCAATCTACATGTTTTGACAAGTCGAATCATGCGGTTTTCATTAATTTATCGATAATTTAACTGTTTGATTTCATTGGTTCTTTAGAAAAATGAAAAGGGCCCATTTTGTCGGTCATTTGCAAAAGTAATCCGTATTTTAAAAATGGAGGTGTGGAGAAATTGAAAACCTCTTGATTTTTCATCTCTAAGGTGTCCTGGACTGTAAATAATTCTTATCTGAATAACTTCCCAGAAGAACCAGAGATAGAACAATTAGTTGGTATCGCAATCTTTAATTTCGTTCTTCTCGAAATGAGGTTTTTGGCGTTCTAAACTTTGAAATTTTGTAACTCAGCAAATTTTTAACCAAAAAAGTTACAAGATCACTCAAAATTTTCCAAATTTCGCCAGGAATACGCCCATATAGATAACTCCAATAGTGCCAAAATGGGCCCTTTTCATGTGGACGTCTACATACATATATATATGTGACGCGACACGAGAAAAGGGACCTATCGCCGCAAAAGAGAATTTTACAGGGAGAGCGTTTAAAGCGCCGCCATGCGCAGAAAACCCGTGTATTTACGCGTACATGCTTAAAATTCGGGCTTTATATTATTAACACTATTTAAGTTTTTCAACTTTTGATTTTTTCACGTGAAAGAGCAAAGAATAATCTGTCGAATAGCACCATAATCTCAAAATCGATTTTTTTAACGATAGGTCCCTTTTCTCGTGTCGCGTCACATATATATATATATTTTTTTTTTAACGATAGGTCCCTTTTCTCGTGTCGCGTCACATATATATATATATATATATATATATATATATATATATATATATATATATATATATATATATATATATATATATATATATATGTATTTAAAAAAATGTATTAAGGGGGAGTGACACCTTTGAGGCCTCTTTTGAACTTGTTTTTCATGAATTTTTTTAAGACACGGGAATAAAGTAAACAAAATTTGGTTTTGAGGGATTTATTTGTTAACTTTTTAAGTTTACAAAAACATATTTATACGTAAAAAAAGTTTAAATTTGTTGCATATAGAGGGCGCCGAAGTTGGTCTCCTTTCTCTGCAGAGCAAATTGGTGGGCAAGATTCCGGTTTGACCGTTTAATCTAAATAAAAAATTCAAAGTTTTTCTGAATCTGAGATAGATTTAACTTTCGACTACGTAGGATATTTTTAAAATATTAATTTTGGTGTATTTGGCATTTGTTTGAAGTAAAAAGTCAATTTTTAGGGTGAAAATTTGTCAAAAAATCTGTTGAAAAAAAAACAAAGAAACCAAAAAAAATCCGCTACGTACTCGAAAGCATTAGTAAATGACGATCAAAAAAAACTTTGACCGAAGTCAATCCGATCAAAACTGTTCTAGCTAGACTGTCCACTGTTTTGAAAAACGTCATTTCGAGAAAAACGCGTTTAAAGTTTTGAGAGCACTTGGAGTTATCTATATGGGCGTAATCCTGGCAAAATTTGGAGAATTTTGAGTGGTCTTAGAACTTTTTTGGTTGAAAATTCGCTGAGTTACGGAATTTCAAAGTTTAGAACGCCAAAAACCTCATTTCGAGAAAAACGGAATTAAAAATTGCGATACCAACTAATTGTTGTATCTCTGGTTCTTCTTGGAAGTTATTCAGATAAGAATTGTTTCCAATTCAGGGCACCTTGAAGATAAAAAACCAACAGGTTTTAAATTTTTAGAACCACCTCCTCCCCTTAATTAATTAATTAATTTAAAAACCGACAATATGGGCCCTTTTCTAAAAAGGACAGTTTTTCTATTAAAGAACCATTTTTTTACAAGATTAATGATTAGGTACAATTTTATTGTGTCATTTGAAGAAAAAGAATAGATATTAAACTTATTTAAAAATTTTTGACAGTCTCTATTATGAAAAAATTGACGAAATATACAAATTTTCATTTCGATAATTACGAAAAAAAAGACTCTAACATCAATATCTCTGGTTCTTCTGAGAAGTTATTCAGATAAGAATTGTTTACAGTCCAGGACACCTTAGAGATGAAAAATCAAGAGGTTTTAAATTTTTCTATACCTCCATTTTTAAAATACGGATTACTTTTGCAAATGACCGACAAAATGGGCTCTTTTCATTTTTCTAAAGAACCAATGAAATCAAACAGTTAAATTATCGATAAATTAATGAAAACCGTATGATTCGACTTGTCAAAACATGTAGATTGATAATAAAAAATAAAAAAAAAATTAAGAATTTGCTCAAAAATTACTAAATTGCGATTATCTCGAAAACTAGAACCGACAATATGGGCCCTTTTCATGTGGACGTCCACATATATAGTTCAACTATCCAATTTTTTACTTTGATTATGAAAAAATTAAAATTTCTATTATTTCGAGATTTCTTTAGCAATATATATGTCGTGGCCACTTAGACGAATCCGACATTAAGCTAAGTGTCCAGACAGTTAGCTAACTGCTGACAGTTAGACGAATACACGTCGATATCGTCTAATTGTCTAAGCAGTAAGCTAAATGTCCGACACTTAGCTTACTGTCCACCGCCATTTCGACATTTAGAGTAAAATAGCTAAATGAATAAATTCATTTCATCTATACCAAAATAATTTATTTAATGCGGCCAATAAAAAAACAAATTTTACATTTATTATTAGTCAGCTTAATATCCACCGCCATTTCGTCATTTACAGTAAAATATTTCTCAATGAAAAAAAAAATTATTTATTGTGATAACAAAAAAAATTAACAAATTATTTATTTTTGCACGGATTTTTGCATGGTCTGATCAAATTTAGCTTAATGCCTAGGCATTGGGCTAAATGCCGGCAAGTAGATAAATGAATCGTGAAAAATGGTTATTTTTCTATTTGCCTGAAATCAATTAGTCATTTAGCTTATTGACTAGGCGTTAAGGAAATTGCCTAAGTAGCACCCAGAAAATAGAAAAATGAGAATATGTGCATGTGTCACTCAACAGAAATATTAAAAAAAAATATGTCAAAATTAATTAACACAAATTGGGTCTTGCATAACTCTTTCGGTTTCGCGACTATTTTTGGTGTCATTTTAGATGTTCAAAATGGTGTTTATCAGATAGGAACTAAGGGTGGAATTATAAAAGGTTGGTTTTCTCGAACCAACCCGATTGTGCAATCGGGAACCGAAATTAAAAAAGTTGACGACGTATGTAAAGATGTTACATTAACTTTAAGGGAAGCTGTGTCTCAGCAATCTATGACTGGTGGACAGGGTTACAAAACATGTAACTGTAAGGCAGCTTTGAATCATTTTGACATATTTTTTTTTAATATTTCTGTTCCTGTTGAGTGACACATGCACATATCGTCGGCTTGGTGAAAAACTGTACCATTTCAAGAATTCGTTATAAACTATACCATTTCAAAAGTTTGTTATAAAACACCATTTCGATGAAGATCTATAAAAGCGTTGCACTAAAGAATTTCTAATGATTAACAAGCAATTAATTTAAATTATTAGAAATTTTTAATTAATACATTGAGAAGATGAACAAGAGTATATTTAAGATACCGCTTTTTAAAAATGCATAACCTTATTTTATGTCTAGCGGCAGTGTTGACAAACTTGGAAAAAAAGCAAAAACCTTTTTTTCTCGAAATGGTATGTTTTAAAAACATTTACCGAAATGGTACAGTTTATAACGAATTCCTGAAATGGTACAGTTTTCCACCAAGCCGACGATATTCTCATTTTTCTATTTGCCGGGTGCTACTTAGGCAATTTTCTTAACGCCTAGTAAATAAGCTAAATGACTAATTGATTTCAGGCAAATAGAAAAATAACCATTTTTCACGATTCATTTATCTACTTGCCGGCATTTAGCCCAATGCCTAGGCATTAAGCTAAATGCCGGATTTTTCTATTTGCCTATGACATATATATCATAGGCGAAAAGGAAAATCCGTCGTTTAGCTTAATTCTTAGGCTATAAGCTAAACGCGGGCGAATAGGAAAATGTTCAAGTAAATGACAATTATTATTTTAATCGCCTGAATTCTTTAGTCATTTAGCTTGATGCCTAGGCATTAAGCTAAATGCCCAAAGAGTTCCAGGCGAATAGAAAAAATTCAAATTATAGACAAATATTTCAACCGCCTCCGTGTCCAGTGTTATTATGAGCTTCTAATAATTTTGGAAAAAAATCTTTAATTGGCAACATTTACAATAAATTGCTCGGATCACTTTTTTGTTTCACAATAACATGTGATTCATTCCCGATTTGCAGAATTTCATATTTTCTTAAGTAATGTTAGTGAGCTGCATCTTTCTTTAAATCATTTTTCGCATTTATTAAAATAGATTTAATTTTCTTTAGGTGACTACGACTCCACATTCACCGACTACTTCCCGTTTTTTCAATTGCCCCTTTACATTTTTTCTCAAACTCATCTCTATTTACAGAAACACTTTCCATTTTAAATAAAAGTAATCTGGCACTCGCGTAAAGCAAAGAGAGACTAAATATAATTTTGAATATTTTGTAATATTAATTTTAAAAGGTAGTTTCAACTAAGAATATATTTTAAAAGCAGAGAATATAAATAAAGATTCATAAAGAAAAATTTAGAAACGATTGTCGATTTAAAATACCTGCAATTTAATATTATTAATTGGAATTTCATTACAATGTTTATTATTCATCAATCAATACCAATTTTTTTTATAGGTATTCGTTTTCTATTAGTAGTATACCTGTTTTTTACAGTAATATACACGTAGAAAACCACGTATATTACGTGCGGTAACATACGTTCCCTGTAAAAAAAAAGTATTGGGAGGTACGGGATTCCGTATTGCAAGTGCCAACCTGCCAATGCGGTATTCGCGAAATACCGCATTGGGTGTCGTGGTAAATACGGAAATCAAGGGGTCCCAATGCGGTGCCAGTTTTAAGCTTTAAAAAAACGAAAATACGTGACAGGAGGAAATAATTAGTGTCAGTGCAGAAATATGCGAGTTAAAGGAATGAGAAAACAATAATAGTGAGTGTAAAAATGAAATTTCAAGAAAAAAAGGTAAGTTGAACTGTCAAATATGGGCCCAATGCGGCATAGGCTGATTTCAATGCGCCACAGCAAAAGCAACTTTGACTGGTTTGAATGGCGTGAAATAGGTAAACAAACATTTTCTAACACATTTGTCTCCGTACACAGACACTTTTCACTAAATCTGCCAACGTACAATTGGTAAGCATCTTCTAAATTACAATAATCGAAAATATTGTTTAGATTCATGCAGAAAAGTGGTTATAAAATAAAAAATTGGAAAGTAATGTAATGCAAATCATATGTCAGCTGGGCCACTGTGCTCGCTCGATTCGCTCTGCTTGCTTCTGCCCTCTACTGGCGACTTGCACTATGTACCGATTGTGTACCGTATTGAAAGCAGCCTACGCCGCATTGGGCCCATATTTGACAGTTCAACTTACCTTTTTTTCTTAAAGTTTCATTTTTACACTCACTATTATTATTTTCTCATTCCTTTAACTCGCATATTTCTGCACTGACACTAATTATTTCCTCCTGTCACGTATTTTCGTTTTTTTAAAGCTTAAAACTGGCATCGCATTGGGACCCCTTGATTTCCGTATTAACCAGGACACCCAATGCGGTAATTCGCGAATACCGCATTGGCAGGTTGACACTTGCAATACGGAATCCCGTACCTCCCAATACTTTTTTTTTACAGGGTTCCAAACCCTGTTGACTTCCCTACGGTTAACTCCGAGTATACTCGGGGTGTATCTTTCATTTATTTATTTTAAAAAATTTAATTCGAGAGTCATAAATATAAATAAAACTCGCAGTGTAAATTGAAGCTAAATAGTTGTATTTAATATCAAAGTAAAAATGAAACAGTCAAAATTAATTTTAATAAAATTATAAATTTATTTCCTGCAAAATTGTTAAACAGTACGTAAGTTGGTGTCAACTAGCGTTTCTAAATAGTTTTTTTCATCAAAACCATGCATAAGGTGTTGCACAAAGTACTGTGTGCAACACGTACGAAAGCTTCGCTCGGAGCCGCAAACTTCGCACTCGTCGAAAAAAAAATTCTTTCTGTACTTGTTGCACAATATACTATTATAAGGTTTAACACTATATATTTTTTTAATTGTCAGGAAAAGACGCCAAACACTTCTCAGGCAACTTCACAAGAATCAAAACCTTTTAAAAATCCGGATTCCTGGCCTCATTTGAAGTACGACTTTTTAGAACCGAATAAAATCAAGGATTTGGAATTAAGGAAGAAAGATCACGAAAATTACAATCCAAGAACAGTTCACGTGCCAAACGATTTTCTAAACAATCAAACTCCGGTTTGTTTCATGTCACATATTTTTTAAATGAGATGAATCACGTCAACTTGTCATATCTAAAATGAAGCTATTTGAATTTCATATTAGCTTTTATTAATTTTTAAATTGCCTTCAAATTCATCAATCAATTTTCTTTATAATACATAAAAATTATAATATTGTATTTAATTTTTTCTCAGATATGAACAGATAACGTGATTTTGGTAGTTGTGTTTTTATATTCTCTTCTTGTTTTAAAACAAAATTAAATTTTTAGGCAATGAGACAATGGTGGAAATTGAAGAGCAAAAACTTTGATTGTGTTCTATTCTTCAAAGTGGGAAAATTCTATGAATTGTATCATATGGATGCTGTTCTAGGAGTTAACGAACTAAATTTATCCTACATGCGTGTAAGAATGACAATTTTTTAACGAAAAATTTCAAAAAATTAAAAAAAACCGTTATTACATTGAGATTTTTTTAAAAAACATTCAAATTAATTATAAAAATATTTTTCACTACAATAAATTTTTGCCCAATTGTTAAAAATTCTATATTTTAATTTCATTTTTTTCAAAATCGAAATTGAATATTTTAAAAAATTTCAAATTTATTCAAAAATAATTTTTTAACTCTATTAATTCTTATAAATCTCTTAACTTTTATAAATAATTAAAAAAGAGAATTGAGCTTTGAAAAATGATTTTCTTTCAAAAATTTTCTCAATTTTATGTATGAAATTTTTGCAAACCAATTAGAGTTTTACAAATTTATTACACAATTTTTTAAAAATTAATATTAGTTTTTATTTTGCATTTTCTTTTATTTCAGGGAGAATTTGCTCATTCTGGTTTCCCTGAAATTGCATACGGACGTTTCTCAGCTAGTTTGATCGAGAAGGGTTTCAAAGTTGCAAGAGTTGAGCAGACTGAGAATCCTGAAATGATGAGTAAACGTGTTGCTAAAAGTTAGTATGAAATTTATTTAGTTATTTATTTACTAGTGAATAAAAATTACTTGAAAATAAAAAAACAGGGTTGCCGCAGGTCAGGGAAATCTTCAAAACATTATTACTTATAAATTATTTAATGAATAATATTACTTAAAAATTTCAAAAATAATTGAATTTTATAAAAATTGCGTTTACAATTTTTATAAATAATTGAATTTCAATTTTTAATAAATTCAATTCGAAATTTTAAAGAACTTAGTTTTTTTGAAAAATCTTAATAACACAAATTTTTTTGAAATTAATTGAATTTTTTAATATATATTTAATTAATTAATTATTAAAAATAATAATTTATTTTTTTATTTAAATAATTGAATTCTCGTACAATTTTCTAATAAAAAATTAATTTAAAAATTCATTTTAGTTAAATTTTTAGATAATAATTAAATATTAGAAGCATTATAGGATGCATTTTCAGAAATAATTGAATTTTGAAAAGGTTTCAAATTAAAATCTTTGAAAATCTTAATTTATCATACTCTTAATTAACAATTCTGTAGAACTAATTTTTTTGAAAAATTTTAATTCGAATTCCTTCGAATGGATTTAAAAATTCACAAAGGACAAAAAACGGTCAAAAATTATTTAGAATAATTGATTTAAAGAAGAATTTTAGTTAAAAATTCTAGAAAATAATTTTTAAGAAGTTTCTGAGTTTTAAGAGGTTTGAATTTGACATTTTTGAAAATCTTAATTCCTATGGAAAAATACTAATGATTAAATATTTATTTAATATAAAACTATTTGATGTTTTGGAATAATTTTACAATTAAAGAAATTCGTAAATAAATGTATAAAGAACATTTTTTTGAGTATTTAATAATTTTTAGAGTGAAGCAAAATATTTTTTAGGATCAAGGAAAAAGTCAAAATTCTGTATGGAAATCAGAGAAAAGTCAGAGAAAAATTAAATTAAATTTTTTTGGCAACCCTGTAAAAATAATATAAATTGAAAATTTAAATTACAGAAAACAAAAAATGGTCATAGGAAAATAAAAAATAGTTTTAAAAGTGCGTTTAATTAATTTCTAACAAACTGATTTTGCTTTTTAAGTAAGAAATTTAATTTATTTGACAGTGAGTAAGGCGACGAAATATGACAAAGTTGTGAATCGTGAAATTTGTCAAATTTCTTCGAAAGGCACAAGAGTCTACACAGCTCAAGATGGTGAAATAACTGTACCATCGTCAAAATATTTATTGGCTCTAACGGAAAAACAATTTCATGAGGATAAGACTCCTTCTTACGGTATTTGTTTTCTTGATACCACAATTGGCGATTTTTATCTAGGACAGTTTAAAGATGATCGCTGTAATTCCAGACTTTTGACTCTTCTCGCCCATTACCCCCCAGTTCACGTAAGATATTTTTTTAATTCTCATTATTTTGTTAATATTTTTTATTTCTTGCGAAAAAAGTAAAAGAAATGATTAACGGAAACTCAACTTTTGGAATATGTTCTTTCTAAGTCAATTTATTAATCAAGAAACTAATTGTAATTTTTTATTAAATTTTAAATTAAATGTGAATTGTCGTAGTTTCGTATTTGGTATTTATAACTAACATTTTGATCGGCGTAAGTAAATAGAATGTTAATAAAAAAATTGGTATTTTCAGATTATTTATGAACGTGGTAATTTATCGCAAAGTACATTGAAGATATTAAATGGCATGCTTCCATCAGCAATTAAAGAACCTCTGCAGAAAGAAGTTCAATTTTGGTCGGCTCCCAAAACATTGAAGGTAAAATATTATTGAATTAAATGAAAAGAAAACCTCTAATTGTATTTTTGGGTACGAAAACTGATTCAACAGTTTATTATTTGAAATGTTTTCAGTATATACACGAACAAGAGTATTTCAAGAACAAAGAGTCCAAATTTGAGTGGCCTAAAGAGTTGAAACTTTATCTCAATCCAGGTATGTAAAATGAAAAAATATTCTAAATAATTCTTTATTTTTAAAGCTCTTAGACAAAATGTAATTAAATATAATTTTAATCTAATTAATTTTCTGATATTTAATATAATTAATTTGATAATTATTTTATATATCAGATTTGTTCTTCTTTTCTAATCTTTAACTTTAAATTTAGTTATAAAAATATGTAATTAATTTGACAGCAAGTAGCCCCTGAGTCGAATAGTCAATTGGTCAATAGTCAATTTTGGTTTTTATTCTTAACAAACTATTTAGTGCAATAATAAAATAAATAAAAGCGACATTTATTTTTTTCCAAAAATATATTATTTACTTTAAAAAGTAAATTTCCATTATTTTTTGTAAACTTTTAACAAAAAATTTCCTAATTAAAAAATTTTGCCGGCTCTTGCAAATTGATCTCTAAAATTTAAAAAAAAACTCATTTCTGCAAGTAAAAAGCTTTGATGAAGTTTACAAAGTTTAATTTCTAAATCAACAAATTATTAGAAGAAAAAGTATTCTATTAATTAATTTTATCTTCTAAATCTGAAAATAGGCGATAGTTTGGGATTAACTCCTGCAGAAGATAAAGAATTAGCGGTCAATGCACTAGGAGGTTGTGTATATTTATTAACACACTATTTCTTGGATCAGCAATTGTTGGCACAAGCACGTTTTAAATCTTATATTCCGCCAGATTTTGGAACTGATGGAACGAAATTCGCTAACAGCATGGTAAATATTTTCTTTTTTTCTTTTATACTTTCTCCGGGTAATCGGAAATTCATTATTTAGATAACAATTTTTTTATGCAATATTATTCAGAAAGAAATAAAGATAGTTTAGTAATTTTTTTTAAATTCTTCAAAAAATTTAATATCTTTAATAATTTTTTAAATAATCATTTAAATATTATTATACTCTTACGGCGATTAAAATCTTAAAAAGATTTCAATTTGAAAATCTTTTAAAATTTAATTATTTTTGAAAATTTCCGTTATAACGCTTCTAATATTCAATTATTTTTCAAAATTTTAATTGAAATTCTTTTTTAAATCAAATCTTATTAGAATACAACGATAAATGAATTATTTGAATAAACAAAATATTTTTTTAAATTTTGGTTACAATTCTTGAAAAAATACAATAATATATAGGTATTTAGAAAAAATTTATTTTAATTTAATATTTTAATTTTAAGAAATTTTTCAATATTTCGGTAATTCAACTATTTTCAAAAAATTTTATTTATGATTTTTTAAAAGCCTAATTTTTTAAACTAAATTAAATTTTTCAAATTTCAATATTGTTTGTTCAATAAATATTTAAATATTTATTGTTATTTATTAGTCCACAATGAATTTCAAAATAAATTCAAAATTTCAAAATACATTCAATGTAAAACCATTTGTAATTTAATTAAAATTAAATTAAAACAGCAATTCTTCCAATTCTTGAAATGTATTCTAAAATTTTAACTGAAATTATTTTTTAAATCAATTCTTATCAAAAAGTTAGTTGTACGAGAATTCAATTATTTAAATACAAAAAATGTGATTAAATAATTGATTATTTCTAAAAATTGCAACTGTAACTCTACTTATGGATTTTTTTTATTTGAGAAAGAAAATTCATAGATTACAAGTTGACTTTGTTCAAATATTTTTTATTTGGATTTAAAAAAATATGTGTAGTTTGAGCAAGAGTAAATCGTAGGTCATGATTAATTAATTTAAAATGAAATAAACTGGCAACACGTAATTAATAGAAAGAGTAATTAAAAGATATACACGATTTGTGTGCTGCTTGCAAATGACAGAAAAGATATAATAATAAGAAATAAAAGACGGTAGAATATATTCACATGAATATATAAACAGATCGGAACAAAAGTTTGAACACTTTTGATTTCCAACAAATATTTGATTCAAATTATTTTAAACCAAAGATCGCACAATTACCGACGATACACTGAAAAAACGATTTATTTGATTCAAACAAATTTTGTTCAAATCAAACTTAAAATATCTTTGCTACACTGAGAGAGGTCTGGGAACTAATACGTCCCGTGCGAGGCTTGAGTGATAATTTTGAATGTTCTTATGTGAACCCTCGATCGGGACGTCTCAAGCCCCGATAAAAAACGTACGTGGAACGTCCCGAAGCGGGATTACTTACAACTTTTAGTTTCGGCCACGAGTTGTTCTCTCACATGCGGGAATAATGTTTGTCGGATTCGGGGCGTCTGAGCCCTAGATTCGAAACATCTCAAACGCGACAAGCAGAGTAGCTTATAGCGACGTCTGGCGGGAACTATTACGCCCTGGACTTCTCTCAGTGTATACAGTCAAACAAATTTAAGTTTAATTCAAACATATTTTTTGGTTCATTTATAGAAATAATATATTTAATTTAATCATAATTTATGGTTGATTTTAAATTATTTTTAATCAACTTTTAAGTTTGAATCAAACATATAATTTTTAAACATTTTTTCTGTTTGAAACAAAACAGAAAATATGTTTGAATGAAACATAATTATTGAAAAAAATATTATTTTTAATTAAAGGAAATGAATTTATCATTCGGTAATTAAATATTAAAGGAGAAAGAAGTTAACAATTTTTCCGAATCAATCTCACAAATAAATCGTGAAAGGTTGTGGGCTCGTATCCCACCATGCTACCGTTTTTCTGAGTCCTTTGATAATTTTGAAATTATTAATTAATTTCGAAAATATTTTTCAGATTAAGCAGGTTTCCGTATTGGGTCAGCTGTGCTGTCATTACATATGAAACTCAAGAGCTTATTTAAGAGATTTATTTGTGAGATTGATTCGGAAAAATTGTTAACTTCTTTCTCCTTTAAAATATTATTTTTGTATCAAAGCAGTAGATATTTTCTATATATTGGGATTAAGCTTACAAACTAATTTCCGAGGGGGTATTTTCTTGCGTATTGGAGTGTACACGTTCCTGGTAATAGGTATGTAATACCCGTAATGGTGCGTAATAGTCAGTAATATAGCGTATTACCGAGTAATAGCTGTGTAATAGTAAGTAATATCGTGTAATAGTATTGTTATTTGCATAGTTCAATTTATCAAATAATTAATTAACTATATACTTAATAACATTATTAATTACAATATGTAAATAATAATAATAATAATATTATAAACATAAAGAAATTACTTGCAGATTATGATTGTGAAGTTTCACTAGGCAGAATTGATCTAGATCTACAATATGAAGTAGTTAATGTAGTGAAACTATACAAATTCTAGACCGTATCCCAATGTAAAGCAGTTAATGTAGTGAAACTATACAGAATGTAGACCATTTCGGTATAGTTTTACGTGACTAGCTTTACGAGATGTTTGCGGTACAGTTTCTATCTCGTATATAGTTTCACCAGACACTTTTCTGCACGGGAGAGGAAAATAATTTTTATGTACATTAAACTCGATTTTAAATGCTTCAAGTGTTTCATGATTTAAAACAATGTTCTCGTTTGCTTTATAATTTTTTATTCTTGTAAATTAATGAAAATTTTTCATTTCGTTTCATGTGCATTATTTATTTATTTAAAGTAAATATTATGTACTTATAACTGAATTTGATTATTTATTTCATCCAAAATACTACAATATTATTAGCCGTAATGTGCGTAATAGGGATTACTGTGTACACCATTTTTCTTAGAAAATACCCCCTCGCTAATTTCAATTAAACAAAGTCACCTAAAATTATTTTTTTACTTGACTCGAATATAATGTTTTCTCAGTGTAATTGTGCGACTCCTACTTATTGGATGACTATTAAATAACTTTTAACTTGAAAAATATAATAACTAAATTTTTTTCTTTTTTATTTTCAATAAACTTTACGACAAAGAAATGTTAATTTTTCAATAACTTATTTAACATCTGGTAAAGAATCTCAATTTCATAAAAAAATACTCACTGAAAATGGGGTTTCTGTTAAATATATTAATATAAAATATTAATATTTTTTTTGTTAAGGTGTCATTTTTTCAGAATTTTATCAGTTTATTGAAAATAAAAAGTTAAAATTTTTAGTTATATTTTTCAAGTTAAAAGTTATTGAATAGTCACAAAAAAAGTAGTGGTCGCACAATTACCGCCGGTAGTGTATCTACTTTGGGCCAGGTAAATAATTAATTGGGAATCTAATAAATAAATTTATTTGAAGGAATTAATTTTTGATTCAATTAAAACAAAAATTAATTTAATAATTTTACTGTACGCACTATTCGATGGGATAAAATAAAATATTTGGGTCATGTTAACATTTATTTGGTTCAAATAAATAAATGATCAAATGGACAATTGATCGAAATACATTTTTTATTTAAATTCTTTTCTCCATATGTACTCGCACTTGACAAACCACAAAGTTTTCACCCCATTGAATTTTGTCTCATGGGTTGTTGGGTTGGGAGAAGGCGGGGAGTTGAAAATGACCATTCGGTAATGAGTATTGAGCTGACAAATAGGGTAAGTACAACTCAAAGGGACGTTGGCCCCCTTCAATTCCAAGAAAAGGGTTGCTAGCAAAGGGCCTATTACCAAATTTCTGGTTCGGAAAAAAAGTAATAAAGAACTCATGTACCTATTATTGAAAACAAACTATATCTATTATACACTCGAACCTGGCTAAGTGAAACCTGGATAAGTGAAAAACCTCTATTAGAGACATCAATCGTCAGGTCCCTTCATTTTCCCATGTAAAAACCTCTATAAGTGAGAATCTGTAAGTGACCGATATTTTTTCTTTGCTAGACCTCTATAAGTGAATGAAGCGCTCCTTGAACCTCTATTAGTGATTATTTTTCTTAAGTAGACCTCTATAAGTGACAGGAGCATGTCTCCAACCTCTGTAAGTGAAAATCTTTTCCTCATATAAATATTTAACTGGGCAATAGAAGTAAGTAAACAGTAATTGATTAAACCTCTATGAGTGAAAGAGTGCACGCTTAAACCTCTGTAAGTGCGAGAACCTCTATAAGTGACTGAGGCCGCTCTTCAACCTCTATAAGTGAAAACCTCTATTAGTGAAAAACTTCTATAAGTGACAAAGAATTCACGGTCCCTTGAAATGTCACTTATCCAGGTTCGACTGTATATTAATGCAAGAACTTTAGAACATTTTTTATTGTCTTTTTTAAAATATTTATTTTGTATTACAGATTCTTATCTGTAATTGAATTCTTGCAAAATTATTTGAAAGACTATTTTTAAAATGAAGTAAGCTGAATTTAAAAATTGTAGGTTCTAGATGCAATTACCATCAATAATTTAAAAATTTTGGACGGGGAAGGTTCACTCATGAAATCGCTTGATCGATGTTGCACAGCATTTGGCAAAAGGTGAGATCATAATATTTATTATAACACCCATTTTATTATTTTTGAAATTTGAAAAGTGCAGATTAAAATGGTAATTTAAAAGGTAAAAGGTAAATTGACTTCTTTATAAAATAATGGTATAATATTATACAGGGTGGCCGCTGGACCGGGAAAACCGGGCAATGACAGTGAATTTTGATCTTGACCGGGATTTTGCAATTTTTTTTTAAAAAACACACATTACTTTGTGAGAAAAAATAGAAATATTTATTTTAAGACTTAGGTATTAACTATATTTCATTAAAAAAATTGAATGACCTTCTATGAAATCTATTTATATTTTGTTAGAGAATTTTATAAAAAGTACTATAAAAATATTCAATTTCTAGAATTTATAAAAAAATTATGAATTTTGTTGTCCAACGTAACAGACTTAGAAAAAGAAAATATTAAATTTAATTTTAAATTCTTTCTATTTCTAACAATAATTAAACAAAATATAATTTTAATTAAATTTGTCAAAAAAATTTCAAAGAGAAAAAATTTCACATCCTATAAAATAGTGAAAAATAAATCAATTTAAAAATTTTTTTGCAATAATATTATAACAAAACAAATAAGAATTATTAAAAATTTGAACTAATTAGAACAAAAGTGATACGAAATTTATAAAAATTAATTTTTGAATAATAAATAAAGTAAATAAAAATAAATAAAATTTCTTTTCTTAGAAAATAAATTTTAAAAAACCGTATTTTTCATTAATATCAATTAGTTTTTTTACAATTATTCATAAGCAAATTTTTCTATATTTTAGAATGTTAAATTAATATTACTAATATTATTATAGATTGACTTTTAAAAAATTTCAAATTGAAGTTTTAGAAAAGTTGAATTTTAAAAGATTTTAATTAAAAATTCTGACTAAGTTAGTTTTTAAAAATATTTTTATTCACATTTTTTCAAATTAGTTATGTTTATAAATATGTAATATTTAATTGAAAAATTTTTAAATTATTCAAAATTTCATGAAATTGTCTTGTAAACAAGTGGATTTTAGAAATATTTTAGTTATTTCTAGAATATAATTGAATTGAAATTTTGAAAATAATTTTTAATAAATTACAGTAGCAATTCTTAAAAATTATTCAAATTTAAAGGATTTGAAATTTGAATTTTTTTTTTGAAATTGGAATACCTACTATATGGAAAAATAATGGATAATAATTAAATATTTATTTCAAAAAATCTATCTAAGTTCAAAATTATTTTTAGAGTAAACTAAAATATTTTTAGGGTTTGGGAAAAAGTCAAAGTTTTGTCTAATAATTAGGAAATTCTTTCAATCTTTCATGGAATAATTTATTTTCAGAGTTATTATTTATGACCGGGAGAAATAATTCATGACCGGGAAATGACCGTGAATTTTTTTTTACAAAAAAAGTGGCCACCCTGAATATGTTATGATTACTATAAGTATAAAGAAGTAGATGTATGTGATTTATATAGTAATCTGAGTTTCAATTGCTTTTTTTACACTTATGCAGACTGCTTCGCGAGTGGATTTGTCGACCTTCTTGTCGGAAGGTCGTTATCATACAGCGGCAAGAAGCAGTTACTGAGCTAATGGAGCGAATAGACGAGGTGCGAAACGCACGTTCCATGATGAGCGTTCTTCCTGATCTCGAGAGACTTTTGAGCAAGTGAGTTTCTCCCTTTTTTTTCTTTACATTAATAGTGCAAGACATACTGATAAAGTGCACTTGAATTATTCCAAAAAATGTAGATGTTACATTCTTCTAGATGCTATACAATTCTTGAACGCTTTTAATGGTTCAATATTTTTTAATAAAAAACAACTTTTTCAACAATTTTTAGAACAAAAAAATTAATTTATAATTATACAGACCTCGTATCAACTTTAAGGCAGAAAAAAAGTCGAGAAGTTGTTTGTTTTCTTTTGTTGCCACAAATTTACTTTTTCTTGCGTTTTCCCTGATTTACTACAGAAACTTTGTTATTGTCGAAATTCATAAAAATGCAAAAATAAGTCTAACTCAAAAATTAATTTTTGAAAGCATTTAAAGTTTAATCTTCTAAATCTGTTTTAATGAATTAAGTGAAATAAATTTTAATTTGAATCAATTAATTAATTAGGTATTTTTTAATGTTTTAATGATTTTTTATTACTGCAAAAAACAGTTGTCCTCGGATTGAACGACTTTTTGTCATATCTTGAAACAAAATACAATTCTTTTAGTATAATATCCAACTTAATTTAATTTTCACAGGGTAAATTATGTTCTATTAATTTTTTTATTCTAGTATTATATTTGTCATTGTTATTGTCAAAAGTCATAAAAATGTAAAAACAAGTCTAATTTAAAAATAAATTTTGATAATTATTTAAAACTAAGTATCTTAAATTTGTTTTAATGAATAAAAATTTAATTTCTTGTAAAAAAAAAGTTGTCAAATTAGAACAAAGAAGTTTTAAATTAAATCCATTTTTAGGTATTAAAATAAGAGAAATAAAGGTTTAGTGCCCGAAATTAGTTCTACATTAATACCAATTGTTGTAATTTGACAATTTTTTTTTTTTTTTTTTTTGAGGACAAAAGTTCGTATTTCAATTGAAATTTTTGAAAGTAATTTAATTTGATGTTAATTTATTTCAAGTTTTTAAAATAATGGTAGTTCGTATTTAATCGTATTAAATTCTTAGAATTTTATTAAAAATTTTATTGCAATTTTATTGATAGAAAGTTAAATTTTTTTAAACAATTTTATTAAAGTTTTGTAAATAAATAAATTGTTTTAAAGAATTTCTTTAAGTGTTTTTTTAAATAATGTAGTTTTTTGAATAATTTTAACTGAGAATTTTGAAAATAATTGAATTAAAGAATTTTTTTCAACTTTTCAAAATAATTGCGTCTGTTAATAATTATAATTAAATATTTGATTATTGAAGTTTATTAAATTTGTGTGGAAAATATTTGAATTCCTAAGAAGAATTTCATTATATATAAAAAGTAATTTTATTCTTGTGTTGAATTTTACTACTGTGACGTTAGGATTTACTGATGAATCAAATTAATATATTTAAATATTCAACCCGAAACATTTGCATCGAATTCCGTCCAAGAAACACTCAGCTACTCGCAACTACAGCGTCCTCAAAAAACACAAAATCTCATCGGAGAATTCTTCCAAGGCGATGCCGTGATGCAAACCGGTCAACTGGACAACGAACAACCAAACGAACTTTTCAAACACGACCGTTGAGACGCTACCAATATTCTCTACTCTCTGGCACTCTCCTCCGGTCCACAATGAACGCAAAACACATTAAATCACAGAGTTAACAAACAATAACTATTTATTAATAATAAATCAAACTCTCAAATTATCTCTCGATTCTGACACTCGTCAAAAACCGCGTCACGACTTCTCGGAAACCCGCAAGTAAGTGTTAGGGTCGAACCATCTGATTATCCCCAGTAGGCTTCCTCGTTATCAAATCGCTTCCTTGTTTTTCCTTCGCAATTTTCGGAAGAACCCTTCTTGTTATCCCCACGGAACGGCACCTGAAAGAAACTTGGAAAGGGTCGCTGGCCATGTCACGTACGCTGACAATTAATCATGCGCAGAAACATTTAAATTCTGATTTCACGAAAACCACAGCTCCTCACACGCTGATACGAAAGAAATATACAAGAGCCTTGACAACAAACGAGACAGACCTATGACAAGAAACAGACAAACAAACGACTCTCTAAACTCTGAAAATGCTTCTCCTACACATGGCAAATTAGGAAGAGTAAGTAACGAAACACTTCGTTACACTACTTATCAAAAAAATTAAATTGTTTCGAAGGATTAATTAAAATTTTAGAAAATAATTGAATTTTTTCAAAAAATTTCATTAAAATTTTTTAAAAAATTGAATTGTTTCGAAGGATTAATTAAAATTTTAGAAATTATTCTAGTTTTTTCAAAAATATTATTAAAAAGTAAAAATAAAAAAAATTGAATTCTTTCATGAAATTTTATTAAAATTACATTAAAAATAAATGAATTTAATTTTCGTAAAAAATTCAAATTTTTCTTTTCAAAAATTTATTCATGTTACTACACTTTTTTTAAAATCACTAACTTGCATTTCTTTTAAAAAGACAAATGGATGAAAAAAGTTTATAAACTTCAAATTTAAATATAAAAAATTGTTTAATTTAGAGTTCTTTGAAAAAATGTATTAAAATTTTTTGAAAATAATTCATTTTACGCATTCTTTCCTTTTGCACATTATTGAAAGATGTATGTTAGTTACAAATATTTATATAATATTATGTATTGTTATTGAGTTTTCTATAATGCGAAATTGTTTTTTGTCTTACGCAGAATTCACGCTCAAGGAAATCACAAAAAAATGTACAATCACCCCGATGGAAGAGCTATAATGTTCGAGGGACCTATATATACAAAGAGAAAGATTGTTGATTTTATTACCGTCCTTGAAGGATTTGAACAAATTTTGAAGATCATTCAGTTTTTCGATGGTACTGTCTCAAATTTTTAAATCATTTTTTAAAAATTTTTTATGGGTGTGCAAAAATTGATTACAATATTCTAATGAACCTTCAATTCAATAAATCAACAACATAATTTAATTAATTTTTTTTTCAAATCTTAATTTAATCTTAATTTTTTTATTTCCATAGATTTAAATTAACTTTTTCCTATATCGTAAATGAACTATGATTATTAAAAAAAATTAGTTAAGCAAAATTGAAATCTATTTATATAAATTATTTTACTTTGTAAAGCTGATTTTAAAAATAAAATTTTGTTGTGTTTAAGAATTCAAGAGCGATCTAATTAAACACTGCACAGTCGTTGAGCCTGAAGGTGATTTTCCAGAATTGAGGAAAACTCTCGAGTACTTTAAGGTTTGTCGATATTTGCCATTATGTACATTTGGTTTTACTTATCCTTAATACCTAAGGATAGTCGTAATTCTTAAAAAGTTATAATTAGACTTTTTTATAATAAATAATATAATTATTATTCTGGTAATTAAGCTGCTAAATTAAAGGTTTCCCGAAATTGGGAAAAGAAACTTAATAATAATGAAATTTTCTGTTCACATGAATAGACGGCGTTTGATCACGAAGAAGCTAAAAAAATTGGTTCTATCGTGCCAAAGAAGGGCGTGGATACAGAATACGACACAGTTCTGGAAGAACTCGCTCATGTCGAAAAGGATTGTGCTAAATATTTGGAGCAGCAGAAAAAATTCTTTGGAGTCAAGGTAACATATGTCGGTACTGATCGTAAGCGTTTTCAACTAGAAGTTCCCGATTCTCAAATAAAGAAAGTCAACTCAAGTTATGAACTTCAATCACAGCGGAAGGGATTTAAAAGATATTATACAGACGAAACAAAAGTAAGTTTTTCATTATCTTCTTCTTTTTTAAATTTAATTTTATCTAACTGCTTTATTTCAACTCGCTGTAGGCTTCGTACTCGTTAATTCATTTTTTGTCCAAATTTTTTAATAAAATTATTCAAAACTTTAATTCAAATTTTAATATAATTACAGTTTTACGACAATTACAATTTTCAAAGATTTCAATTTAAAAATCTTTTGGATTTTAATAATTTTTAAAAGTTGAAATATTCAATTATTAACTAAAAATTTTAACTGAAATTCAATTTTAAATCAATTCTTATTAGATAGTTATATGAGAATTTAATTATTTAAATACAAAAATAAGTAATTTATTGAATAATTGAATATTTTTTAAAATGTAATTCTTATAAAGAACTTTATATTTTTATAAACTATATTTTACAATCATTGAATTCTTTCGACGAGTCCCGTCTGAGACGTTGTTCTGTTCGGACGTGTTTTTGTTTTGCTCGGTGTTAGCGTTCTTCATTCGCTCACCAGCCTTATAAGTATTCGTGAATAATTGTATCTGTATTTTTTTCTCTTTCTCTTTTTGAACCGTGTTTATCGTGTGTTACTCAGTGTGTAATTTTGCTTGCCGTGATTAAATATGGATCCAGATCTTAAAAAAGCTTTGGAAGGTATCTCGCAACAAATAAAATCACTGACCTCTTCGCACGAACAGTTAAAAAGGGAAGTGCATTCATCATGCAAATTATCCGAGGAGACCGCTGAAGGAATTAGGAGTGTTACAAATAAAATTTCCAAAATAAATGCGGAAATGAGTTACCTGAAGCGAGCGGAAAGGAGAAATAATATAGTGATTTTCAATTTGGAAGAAAATCAACAGAATGATACGAATTTAATTTCGACAGTAGCAGGTGTATTTCTGAAGTTAAATATTATTATACCTGACCTTGCTATCGCAGACGCTTTCAGACTCGGTAAAGATAATAAGGAAAACAGACCAATTCTAGTTAAGTTTATCGCTTTTCGCTGGGTCAAGGCTATTTTCGAGAAAGTCAAGGATTTTCATGATATTGGTCTATCGGTTGCAAATGATCGTTCACCGGAGGATAGGGAATGCAGGAGGAAACTTCTCAGCTGTGCTAAAATTATAAAAGAAAAAGGACTAGAAGTAAAAGTAAAAAAGGACTCTCTAATCGTCAATAAAAAAACGATACAGTTGAAAGACCTTGAAAATTACATCATGGAACTTAACAAGCCTTCCACTAAGTCGCATCATAAAGATACAGCGGATATTTATAACACTCCCCCCTCAGGGACAAAGAAGGAAGATCGGAAAAAGAAATTAGTGCGCAAGGCAGAAGCACGTTCTAAACTATTGGATCAGTTTCTGATACAGGAGGGTTCCCCTCAAGTGAGGCCAAAATCACAACGTTCCCAATTACCTACAGTTAAATAGCAGCGATCATCACAATGTTCGGATGTTCATGGTACGGAAGGTTGTTCATCAACAAAGGATCAGAGTTCAACACAGGAAAGATTTCCCTCCAATGTAAAAATTTACTTTTGGAATGTACACGGATATTCAAATATAGTGGATCTTCGGAATTACTTTTGCAGGGGGGATATTCTGTGCATTTACGAGACGTGGTCTTCGTCTGGCAACTTGGTCAGCAAATTTTTCTCGAGTGACTTTTTGATACTGCAATCGTTAGGAGTAAGAGATGCGACAAGAGGCAGACGGAAGGGTGGTATTGCAGTTATATTAAGTAAAAAACTGTATGCGGCAAAACTTTTGGTTAGTACAAGTGAGATGCTCATAATCAAGGTAAAGTCACAGTTTACTTCTTTTCTGTTAGGCATGGTTTATCTCGCCCCGACTGCGGACACGGCAGAATTTTTTCATAGAATCTTGGGCCTATATTGTCATCTGTTCGCAGATCGTATTCTGAGTGCCCGTTTTTTCTAGGCGGAGATTTTAATTGCCGTATAGCAAATTTTAATATTTTAGACGAGCATATTTTTAATAATAATAATAACTTAACGCATGTAAGATATTCAAGGGATAAAGTCTCAATAAAAAGGGTTTGCAGTTGGTCAATTTCATGGAGCAAAACGAATTCTTTGTGTGTAATGGTAGGTCAACGCATGATTCATCAGCAAACTTTACATTCTCAAGCACCTGCGGAAATAGTGTTATTGATTTGTTGTGGTGCTCGCTTGATTGTATAGACATAATTGAGGATTTTAAAGTATTGAAACTGTCAACTCTGTCCGATCATTTTCCCATCTGTGTTTCTCTGCAGGATGTTTTTATTAATTCTGTCAAATCGCTCCCGGCAAACGTGCAAACTAAATTAGAATTCAATTTTGAAGAAATAGAAAACTTTAAAAAGTGCATGAGGCAGCGTGACGAAATTGCAATAGTTACTTCAGATATTGATTTTTTAAACGATAATTTAACGTCAACAATAGTAAAGGTAGCACATTCTTTAGGATTTGTAAAAACTTTTGTCTATAAATCGGGCATCGTTGACAGAGGGAAACCGTGGTACGATACTGATTGTTACAACGCAAAAAAGAACCTTAAGAAATGTTATGTATTAATGAAAACGAATAATTTTCAGCACCTAAATAAAGAATATTATAATAATCAACGCAATTCATACAAGAATCTTTTAACCACTTCACTGGCAGGGCGTTCCAAATGGCGTTCCACGCGCCGGGGCCCAGACTGGCAAAAACACCGAAATGGCGTTCCTAATAAAACTTTATTTTTTAAGAGTGTACACTACTTTTAACTTCTACAAAGCAATATTTCTATAGTTTAGACATCAGGTAACAAGATTATCACAATAAAAGTTTCAGTTTTTGAGATTTTTAATGTTTCTTTGAACGTTGAAATACTCAATTTTTACCACTTTTTAACAAATGGCGTTCCACTTTTTTTCAATTTTTACGCAGTAAAACTCATATTTTTTATTTAAAAATAATGTATTTATATACAATATTATATTATAATAATAATAATGTAATAAATAAAAAATAAATATAAATAATTGATAAATAAAATATAATAATTATTAATAATAACAATTACTATTATTGTTATAATTATTATTATAATTAATGCATTATATTATTATATAATTGTATATTAATACATTTTTTTAAATAAAAAATATGAGTTTTACTGCGTAAAAATTGAAAGAAAGTGGAACGCCATTTGTTGAAAAGTGGTAAAAATTGAGTATTTCAACGTTCGAAGAAACATTGAAAATCTCAAAAATTGAAATTTTTATTGTGATAATATTGTTCCCTGATGTCTAAACTATAGAAATATTGCTTTGTAGAAGTTAAAAGTAGTGTACACTCTTAAAAAATAAAGTTTTATTAGGAACGCCATTTCGGTGTTTTTACCAGTCTGGGCCTCGGCGCGTGGAACGCCATTTGGAACGCCCTGCCAGTGAAGTGGTTAAGAAATAAAAAAATGTTATTTGAGAAGCGCATTACAGACGAGTTGGCAGCCGCGAAAAATTCGAAAGTGTTTTGGAACATCGTCGGTAGATTTCGGAAAAGGACGTCAAATGCTTGCGATATAGATATTCACTCTTGGTATGAGTATTTCTCTGACTGTTTCCCCCGTACTGCCCCTTCTGAGGTTTCGCTACTTGGCTCCGCCCATCCCATCATGGATAGTTATATTTCCTACGAGGAAATTTTAGTTAGTTTGAAAAAATGTAAAAAATCAAAATCACCGGGAATTGATGGCATCGATTATAGCTTTTACAAATGTTTACCAGAAAACTGGATAGTATACTTGGAGGATTTATTTAATAAAATACTAACATCTGAAACAATTCCTATTAGTTGGGGTAAAATGATTACTGTTATGCTCCCAAAGAAAGGGGATCTATCCTGTGTAAATAATTATAGAACTATCTCATTGATAAATTGTATTGCGAAGATCTTCACGCAAATCCTTGGTGAGCGTTTGTCTACATGGGCGGAGCTTAGTGGTGTACTACCGGAATTCCAGTCGGGATTCAGAAGGGGTAGAGGATGTATAGATAACTTATTCACACTTGAAGCCGTAACTGAATTGCATCTCAGCTATCCGAAAAGAGCAGTATATGCAGCATTCATAGACTTTAAGAGTGCATTCCCATCTGTAGTCCATAATCGATTGTGGTTTAAATTAAGTAGCCAGGGAGTGAGCACCAAGATGATTAACATTATAAGAGATTTTTATAATAAAGCATACACATGTATTAGAAATAATGGGGAAAACACAGACTTCGTGAAGGTCACACTAGGTGTCTTACAAGGCGAAGTTTTGAGCCCGCTTCTATTTAGTATGCTCATCTGCGATCTCGAGCAATTTCTTCTGGAAAAGGGTTGTAGAGGGCTTTCAATTAATAGTCTTATGGAAGTTCTTGTCCTGGCATATGCGGACGATTTGGTCCTGCTTTCGGACACACCAGTTGAGCTTGTAAGGAAATTGAATGCGCTGGTTTCTTATTGTAAACAAAATCATCTGAATATAAATGTAGACAAGACGAAAATTGTGGTGTTTCATAAGGGAGGCAATAACTCTGTAAAACGATTTAAATCTTTCAAAGTAGATAAATCTAAAATAGAGGTTCAGAGGGAATATTCGTACTTGGGAGTCACATTCACTGATCAATGTTCATTTAGAGAAGCGGCTCAGAGCGCGATTAGTTCTGCCAACTCTGCGATCGGTGCATCAATGCGCATTATTTACGCCACCAGGGCTGATTCCTGGTCGACGTATTCGAAACTATACTCGGGTTTGGTGAGGAGTTCGGCATATTATGGGATTCAGGTTTGGGGCCTTGAGTATGAGGATCTTCTCGACAAAATGTCACAGGCTTTTTTTAAAAATCTTATGCTGCCGCGATGCACACCGGCCTATGCAGTTCGGATGGAAACGGGATCGCTCTCGATGTCATGTCTGGTGTTTGAGAGGGCATTGAATTGGATTAAAAAAGTTAATAGTATGTCTGATTCACGGTACCCCAAACAATGCCTGCTCCGCCTTATGGACAAAGCGAGAGCGAGAAACGGATCCTCTTCTTCGAATTGGTTTGGCAAATTGAGTCAATTCTTCGAAAGGTGCGAATTGAAGAATCTATGGGTGGAAGCGTCGCTGGAGGAACTTGCGGCCAATACGGATTTAATTATAAATAAATATAAAAAATATCTTGTCAATAAAGACAACAGGGCTCGCATACAATCGAGCAATCTTCAGATTTGGCCTCAGCTTCCTCACGAGCGGGGTACACAAAAATACCTTGTCAATAGACTTGATCTGGAATCGAAAAGATGCTTTGCTCAGATTAGACTTATGAACAATTTTTCAAAGTTTTTATATTATGACAAAAAGAAATTAGCTCTACCTTCATTAAATCATTGCATGTCTTGTGACTCTAGTCGAGAGGATTTACGTCATATATTATTTCACTGCCCCAGATATGAATCGTTGAAGTCCGAGCATTTCCCGGAGTTGAGTGAGTGTGTTGACCAGAAATCGTTTTGGATGGCAATTCTCTCGTCACAGAATCCAAGCGAAATAAAAAAATTTGTAATAATGTTTAAAGAGATTCTGTCTATGCGCACGGGATGAATGTAATAGAGGAATATTGTGTGGTGTATTGTTGTATGTTTTTTATTGTATTTACCTAATTTGTACTTTTTTTCAAAACTGGACTCTGTAAATAAATATGGGCTATTGTCTAATAAAGAGATTAAAAAAAAAAAAAAAAAAAAATTCTTTCGACGAATTTTAATCAAATTTTCAGGAATAATTGCAGTTCTTAAAGAATTAATTTAAAATTGTATTAAAAATAATTAATTAAATTAAATTATCCCGTGTGGAAAAGAGGTGTTGGCCCACGCCAGGGGCCCGCATGGATCGCCCACATCCATGAGGGGCCCATATGGGTGATCCAGGCGAGGCCCCTCATGGAAACGACATGCTGATCGATGAGGGCGCCCGCATGGGCGATCCACGAGGGGGCTCTCGCGTTTGCCCTTAACTTCATTTTTCAATTAAAGTCATAAATTAATTATTTATTAATAACATACAAGTTCAATTATTATTAAATAACATTGTTATTTAACGATTTTTACTTTTTTAATTAAATCGTGACCAAAAAAAATCTGACGCACGCGGGAATAGAACCTACGACCTACGGACTACCAGACAAACGCTCTAACCACTATGTTTTTTCTTTAGGGAGCGTTCACAAATGACGTCACGCAATTTTTGAAGATTTTTAACCCCCCCCCCCCACCCCCAAAAGCGTGACATCATTTGTGAACGCTCCCTTATTCAACAATATAATTGAAGTACAACGAGAACATTAAATAAACGACGTTGCTTATATAATTACACTTTGTCTAACTTCCATTCAATCAAACGGCGATCCACTGATCCCACTCGCTATTCTCACTATAAATGTCTTTATGTTCGCATAACAATCTATTAACTATATTTTACCATCCTCCTTTCTTAAAAAAGACATGGAGTGGAAAGGTCGAAAGTATCGAAGTAAAGAATGGGCAATGAGAATGTAAAATCTTAATAGAAGGGTGTTTTTAAAATTGTTTGTACATGTGAAGGTGTCGCTGCAGTCGTATGTTATTTAAAAAGAGCGCGAATATATAAATTTTATTTTTGTTAAGAGAAAGTACTCATAATAAATCTTATTTTGCATTGTCAAAAAAAACGTCAACATTTCAAATATAAATAAGCAAATTATTAACTGAAAAAATTTGAATATTATTATTAATGAAATAATGGACTTGGACAATGGACATATAAAAACTAGCACCGTAGACGGCCGCTATTGGAAAGTTTAATTCAATTATTTAAATACAAAAATAAATAATTTAATGAACAATTTAATATTTTTTAAAATTGAATTTTTATAAAGAATTCTTATAAGAATTTTCTTTTAAGAATTATTATAAAATTTTTAAATGACTGATATGTTACAAAGAATTTAATTAAAAAATGTTTAAAATAGTAAAATTCATCAAAGAAATTTAATTAAAAATTAGGTTCCTGAAGTTGGCATGGATGCTCTGATCGAAAACTATTGTTTCCTAATTTTCGTGATAAAATTTAAACTAATTTCACTTCTTTCATCCACCTAGGAAGTAAAAAACTTTGTAAAAGTACTTTTTTAACCTTAAACCTTGGGGATAATTGAGTGAAATTTTTCGGTTTCGTACAAAAAATATTTTACACACATACTCTTATCACCATTCATTTTATAACCTATTTATAATTTTCTCTTTTTCCTTCCATAACTTTTTTGCTACCCTAACTTTTATATTACCATTTTTACAATCTGTTAATCGGTACATTCTTTTCTCATCACTATCTCCTAAATCCTCAAACCAACCTTTTGTCAAACAGCTTTAATTGAAAAAGTACGGCTTTTTTCTTAGTAACTACACTGAAAAACTGTTGGCAGAACTGTTCGCCCAATGCGCTGAAGTGCTGCGTTAAAAAGAAACGCACAGCTCACTTTAGTTTTGGGAGAGTAACTCTCCTTTTTGATAGAGCTGCCGAACTATCTGTCAAGCAGCCGCTCACTCAACGCCATTGGTAGTCCACTTTAAGAGAGCAACTCGCCCAATTTTGATTGAGCTGTAAAAAATAGTTAACTTAACAAATTTCATATGTTAAAAATTGTATATTATTCTTTGAACATTTATGAAGAGAAACAGAGTAGTCCGGTCAAAAAATATTAATTTTCAACGATTTTACAGGAAATATACGAAAAAAAGTTTTTTTCTTATGAAAAATACATGAAAAATTTCAATAGCCTACAGGCACCACTAAATGTTAATTTAGAAAAAAATAAAAAAATACGTATCTATTTTTTTTCAATTTGTGGCAAAATGAGACCCGGAAATGGACAAAATTCCAAAATGTCGTTTTTAACGGACACCCTAATGAATATGTAATAATGCAAAAAATGCAAAAAAGTGAAATTTGAAAAAAATCCGAGTTGAGCCCTTTTCGAAATTCACAATTCAATTGAATTCATGAGAAGAATTTTATTATTTATAAGAACAATTCAATTCTTGAGAAATTGTTTTATTAAAATGGTAGGTAGATATTGAAAATAATTGAATTTTGAAAATGTTTGAAAATAATTGAATCGTTCGACAGAATTTTATTAAAAATTTTGAGAATATTTTATTCTAACTATTAGCGAATTTAAAGTAGTGGAAATTCTCAAACATGGAAAAAAGTAGCTTTTAGTATCATAAATCTAAAAAGAAGTAGTAAATTATTACTATAAGTAGGTAGTAATTATTACTATTTTTCCACATTTGGAAAATACCAATTATTTAATTTCTGGATTTGGAATATTTCAATTAGACCCAAATATTTAAAAAAAATGTTCATGACTTGTTGATCTCTTTTGTTATAGGAACTTTTGTCGAGACAAATCAGTGCCGAAGAGAATAGAGACAAAGTATTGAAAGATTTGAACAGGCGACTGTTTGCCAAGTTTAGTGAAAATTATGATTTGTGGAATATGGCTGTTTATAAAATAGCAACTCTCGATGTGCTGATGTCTCTGGCTGAATATTCAGCCTCTGAAGACACGTGTATTCCAACTATCTTTGATGACTCGGATGATAAGGTTTACTAATTAAAATTAATTAAAATTAAAATGAATAAAGTTTTCTTTTTTAGTGAGATAATAATTTCTTTAAATTCTGCAGACAATCATTGAGATAATCGAGGGTAAACATCCGTGCATCGTGTCTGATAATTTTATACCTAACGACACCACATTGGCAACAAATGGCGTTAAACCTTTGGTTATCCTCACTGGACCAAACATGGGAGGAAAGTCGACTCTCATGAGACAGCTTGGCTTGATAGTCATTATGGCGCAAATAGTAAGTTATCTTTAAATTACTTTACGAGGCAAAAAGTTATAGTTCCCGTTTTTACTTGATTCATTTTAAATTATCTGAGGTAAAACACAGTTTTTATAATTTATTTAATGTTTTTCAATTCAGATAATTAAAAATGTACCTATGTTTAATTATTAAAAACATTAAGAAAATAATTTAAAATACACATAATGAAATGTGTTATTTTTTCTCAGGGATGCCAAGTGCCGGCAAGTAGTTGTTCAATAACGTTGATTGATCGCATTTTCACGAGATTAGGAGCAAATGATGACATTATGGCTGGGCAAAGTACTTTCTTGGTGGAATTGAGTGAAACTTCTGCAATTCTACAACACGCGACACCGTATTCCTTAGTTTTGCTTGATGAACTGGGTTGGTTTTAATGTTTTTCTTTTTATTTGCCATTTTTGCTTTATAGAAAGAAGGAAGATTGTAATTTGTATGTTTTTTCTTTTCAGGAAGAGGAACATCGACTTATGATGGAACGGCCATAGCAGCTGCTGTCGTAGATGCACTTACAAAAATGAAGTGCCGTACGCTGTTCTCCACTCATTATCACTCTCTGGTCGAAGACTACAAGACAAACGAGAATGTCACATTGGCTCATATGGTGAGTTACTTTCAGTTTTAAATTCAGCCATTAGACAAAGACACAACCAAACTTTTTATTTATCTATTTATTTCTCCTCTTTTCACGGTGTTAGACAAATCAAAATTTATTAATATAGAACTCTGATAAATGAACAATTTTAATGATTAATCTTATTTTTTTTCAAAAAAATCTATTCAAACTAATATTCTGTAAAGAAAATTGTAAAAAATAATATTTTTTAAATATTTTTTTCTCTGCTTGAAAGTCAAGAAACTTTTTTCCAAATTGACTGTTTTTTATATTGAGAGTGTTTTTAATTATAAAAGTAATTCTGCGTGACTCTGCGCCAGGTAACTCAGTAAGAAGGGAAGCGGAGCGCGAAACACAACAAGCGTACAATCAGTCACGCGTCTTAAGCACACTCTTCGGAAGAAAAGTTTGCGATGATAACGTATCCGTCGCCCTCGAAGGGTGCTGACTAATTTTTTTTTTTTTTTTTTTTCTACACAGTAAATTCAATTACGTTACTCGTTTTCAAAATGCTAATAAAGTAGTATTATTATCGGTTAATGTTTTTTCTTTGTAATTTTTTTATTACAGGGTTGCCACAAAAATTACTTCATTTTTAAGTAAATATTTAATCATTAGGGAACGTTCATAAACTACGTAGACCAATTTTTTGGAAATTTTAACCCCCCCCCTCTCCCCCCACGTGGACGCAATAACATGTATTAGCGCCATTTTTTCCTCTTATGGTAGACAATTGCTTGACCCCGCCTCCCCCTAGACGTGCTACATAGTTTATGAACGTTCCCTTATTATTTTTCCATAGGAATTAAAATTGTTCAAAATTATTTTCATCATTTCAAATCAATTATTATTTTCTAGAATTTTTAACTAAAATTCTTACTTTAAGTCAATTATTCCTTATAATAATCTTTGATTTTCTATTTTTATAATTTTTGACCAAGTCCTTTGAGAACAAATGTTTATAATTCAATTTTACAAAATTTCGATTATTCTGATATTCTTCAATTAAATTAGAAAATAAAAACTTGAAATATGTATTATCTGAAACTTTAGCTGAAATTTATTTTTAAATAAATTTTTTATTACAAAATTGTTCGAAAATTTAATTATTTAAATACAAAAATAGATAATTTATTGAATTATTAAATATTTCTCAAAATTAGAAATAATTTAATAATTAGAAATAATTCGTTCTTTCGACGAATTTTAATACAATTTTTATGAATAATTGCATTTTTCCATGGATTCATTTAAAATTAATTGAAACTAGCAACATATACCTCACTCGCTAACGCTCGTTCGGTTGTATTTAAACTTATTAGTTTTTACTTATTTTTTTTTTTTTTATTTGAACTAAGTAAATATTTACTGGACATAAATATTTTAATTTATGGTATCTATTAAATAGTTATTTGAACCAAATACAAATTACTTAAGTCAATTAAATAGAATAATTTAATTTAATAAATATTGCTTTAAATCAATTATAAAAATTACTTGATTAAATAATGCATAGTTTTTAATTAAAATAAATATTTATTTGCATCAATAAAATAATTTTTTTTGAAATAACTAAACTTAGAAGGTTAGATTTTGAATGTTAGCCTGATTCTCTGAATAATTAGTAAGAAAAGGGCGAAGATACGTCCATTCTTTTCTTACTAATAGGATTTTCTGTAGGTAATGATCAGGGTGTTTTTTTGAAATTTTTACTGCACTATTCTTACGCATGTCACCGTCACCAATATTGTTACAATATATATTGTAACAATATTGTTACAACAAAGTCTAGACTTTGGGTTTTTGCAAGTCTAGACAATATAGTTGTATAATAATATAAATTTTTCTTTCTAAACCAGAATTTGAACATTTACAAAATTAAAACCTTATAGTGGTTAGAAAATGTAAAAAATTATTAATATTTATAAAAATATAAATTATTTTATTTAAAATCATTGTGTAATAAGACAAAAATTATGAAGTGACATTTACAAAAAATGTCATTGTACATTATACGAAATGTTATTTTTACGTATTCTCTTACTAAATCTTTCATTTTCGTCCGCTATCCTGGATTCGCCATTTTGTATTTTAAAAAGTGACTTTGGATTCATAATCAGGGGAATTTTACTGAAAATCAGTTGAAAAGTACTAAAATATCAGTCATTCTTCACTGATTATTATTTTATTGTGATTTATTTATTAATATTGTAAATTTCTGTCAAACAAATAATTTTACTAAAAGTCAGTTGAAAATTACACTTACAGTAGTGTTTCATTCGAGCAACACGATCCGAGAAACGAACAAAAAACGATTTTCTTTTTGTTTTGATAACCAAGCTGTCATGTTCGCTCGTCTTATTGAAGTAAATTTTCATAAATGTTTATTTACATTATTCGAAGATAATTAAATCTTAAAAAATTACTATAAAAAAATTCTAATAATATTAGTTTTTAAAAATATTATAATGTTATTTTTCGAAAATAATTGAATTTCTTAAAATAATTCTTATATCCTAACTTACCTTTAAAAATTTTTTTTAAATTTTTGGTAATTCAATTATTTTCAAAATTTGCAATTAAAATTCTTCAAAAAATTGTAACAAAATACTTGAAATAAATTAATTATTTTCAATTAAATTTAGCACAATTTCAACTATTCAAAAAGGTTTCTATTGTAGACATATTTAAAAAATTTAATTATGTTAAAAAATTATTCAAAGAAATCTAAGTATACTTATTTTTAATTATCTATAACTTAATCTATTGAATTTAGAAAAATTACATCAAGAGGACAAAACTTTGTTCTTTCGTCTACTTTTGAATAATGTTTAGAAAACTAAATTTTTATTAATGTTTATTAAAAAATTATTTTATACCTAAAAATGTTAAATTTTTTTAATTTAGGCATGATTACAATCACAGGCACACAAAAAAAAAGTTGTCTGTTCATTGAACAAGACCTACATGTCTTATAGTATTTTGGCCCCCTGAATACGAATATGAAGTCAGAATTGCTCCAGCACCCTCTGTTTTTTTTAAATCGAAAAAACTACCCTTAAGTCTAAAATTCAAGAATTAAAGTAAAAAAAAATAAAAACACGGCTTTCTTCGGAGTAGAAGAATATATTTATGCGTTTTCTTCTTTCAACAACTCAAATAATGTCAAAATTGCTCCACCACCCCTGTTTTTTTAAATGGGAGAAACTACCCTTAAATCTAAAATTCAAGAACTAAAGTCAAAGAATGAAATAACCACTTTTTTGCGAAGTAGAAGAATATATTTATGCGTTTTCTTCCTTCAACCACTCAGAAATATTGTCAAAATTGCTCCACCACCCCTGTTTTTTTAAATGGGAGAAACTACCCTTAAATCTAAAATTCAAGAACTAAAGTAAAAAAAATATGAAATAACCGGTTTTCTTAGGAGTAGAAGAATATATTTATGCGTTTTCTTCCTTTAACCTCTCAGAAATAATGTCAAAATTGCTCCACCACCCCTGTTTCTTTTAAATGTGAGAAACTACCCTTAAATCTAAAATTCAAGAACTAAAGTCAAAGAATGAAATAACCAGTTTTTTTGCGAAGTCGAAAAATATATTTATGCGTTTTTTTCTTTCAACAATTTAGAAATAATGACGAAATTGCTCCATCACCCCCTGCCCTTACATCTAAAATTCAAGAATTATAGTAAAAAATGATATAACAGGTTTTTTCCAAAGTAGAAGAATATATTTATGTACTTTTTAAAAAAGCATCAGCATTGCTTCATCACCCTCTTATTGATTTATATTGAAAAAACTACCCCTTTAAGTATGAACCCAGAGTATACTAACAACAATAAAAACAATTAGTTTTAGACAAAAGCATACGTTCCTTTATTTTTGTTCTCATAACTAAAAAGCAGAATCAGAGTTAATTTATCATTATTTGTTGTTGAAAGAAGAAAACTCATAAATATATTCTTCTACTCCGAAGAAAACCGGTTATTTCATTTTTTTTCACTTTAGTTCTTGAATTTTAGATTTAAGGGTACTTTCTTCGATTTAAAAAAAAGTAGGGGTGGTGGAGCAATTTTGACATTATTTCTGAGTTGTTGAAAGAAAAAAACGCATAAATATATTCTTCTACTCCGAAGAAAACCGGTTATTTCATTTTTTTTTACTTTAGTTCTTGAATTTTAGATTTAAGGGTAGTTTCTTCGATTTAAAAAAAACAGGGGTGGTGGAGCAATTTTGACATTATTTCTGAGTTTTTAAAAGAAGAAAACGCATAAATATATTCTTCTACTCCGAAGAAAACCGTGTTTTTATTTTTTTTTACTTTAATTCTTGAATTTTAGACTTAAGGGTAGTTTTTTCGATTTAAAAGAAAACAGAGGGTGATGGAGCAATTCTGACTTCATATTCGTATTCAGGGGGCCAATATATTATAAGACATGTAGGTCTTGTTTAATGAACAGACAACTTTTTTTTTTTAATAATAAAAATTAAAAATAATTATTTTTAATTTTTATTATTTAAATACACAATTAAAAATAATAATAATACTCCGCAAAAAAGCCCAACTAATAGAAAAATAAAAAAGTAGGTTAATTTTAAATTTAGATCCAACTATTACAATGTTATAGATTTATTAAGTAATATATAACAAGTAATATTATATATATTTCTCTAAATAAAGATGTCTATTGACTTTTTAAAATTGATTTTCTTAAAAATTTCTTTATTAAAAGTATTAATATTTAAATTTTATAGTTATTGCTGTTTTAAAAAATCAATCCGGGAATATTTATTTTTGGTCTGGGAATTTAAAAATAATAATTCACTAGACACCTTGAATTAATTTTTAACTTGATATAATAATTTTAATTCACTAAAATGAATTTAATTTTAGTTTTTAATAGAATTAATAAAAAAGAATTTAAATGTTTTTGGATATCGATTTTTTTCAAAAAATAGGTTATTATTGTATTATTTTTAGTTGTCAGTTATGGGAAAGTCGAGAAGCAGTCGAGAAGTTCGGTCGATGACAATTAGAAAAATAGACGATACGATTTGACAATTAACAAAAGAATAAACAAGATGATCGTTTGAAAACCAAAGACGATAACCAAATAATCGCTCGAAAAAATGAAATTCTCAGATCGAAGTGAAACACTAACTTACAGAAATATAAGTCATTTTTCACTGATTATCCATTTAAAAAATTATTGTTGATGTCTGCCAAACAAATACAGGGTTGCCACGGACCTGGAAAACCTGGGAAACCCGGAATTGTCATGGAATTTTTTTTCAGTCATGGAAAACCTGAAAAATCTGGAATTGTCAGGGAATTTTATAAAGCCTGATACTAAAAGCTCTATTTTTTGTATTTGAGTCGTAAAAATTTCAAGTTTTCAAGTTGACATACAACTTTTTGATTTTAAATTTAGTGCTTACAATTGAAATCAATATGGCATTTCTAAATTTTAGTTTCTTTTGGTCTCTATCTTCCTTTAAATAATTTTTAAATTAATACATTTTAGAAACCCCAAAATGTTATGAAACTGAAGCTACCAACTTTTATGCAATGAAAATTTTTTCTTTTGCTAATTGTTTTTTAATGTAAGAAGCCCTTTAAAAAATTGCAATCGAAAAAAATTGCTTCTGAAGCAAGGAAATAATAATTTAGTTAAAATTTCGGGATATTTGGAAAATCTACGAAAAAATAATTAAAAATCACTAATTTCCTTGCCTTCCTTAGATCCTCTTACAATTTTTTTAAATGACTTGTCACATTAAAATAAATAATTTGTAAAAGAAAAAATTGCTTATGAGGTGAGGAAATAATAATTTTGTTTAAATAATATATGGATTTTTCGAAAATCTGTGTAAAAAATCAAAATTAATAATTTCCCCGACTTCGATCTTTTAAAATTTTTTAAAAGGCTTCTAACATTAAAATAAATAATTAGCAAAGAAAAAATTGTCATTGAATAAACGTAGGTAACTTCAGTTTCATAAAATGTTATTAAAATGCTTTTTAAAATACTGGTTTAATAATTGTGAAAAATTCTAAACTTAACTAAATTTTTAAATTTAAAAAGATTTGCTCCTCATCTTTCTTCGGAGCGTATCTCAAATAACCTTACAAATTTTAACTTAATTTTTTGTTAATAATGAAATTAAAAATTAATAACTTATTTTGTTAACAATTTACTTAAAGGATTTTATACTTTTTGTCGTAATTAGCTAAAAACATACCAAAACAATTTTATTTCTGGTTTAGAATTTTTGAAGAAATGGTCTGGAAAACCTGGAAAAGTCATGGAATTTTAAAATCGATGTCTTGTGGCAACCCTGAAATAAATAAGTAAATACACAAGTAAATAAATAAGTTTCATTACAACACAGACAGCGCAGCATTAGCGAGTGAGGTATTTACGTATATTTAAAGAAATTTCAACAGACACTACGTGCATCAACGAACCTTAAAAAATTCAACAATTTATATTATCAATCGTTTATTAAATCTATACATATATGTGATTTGTGTATATGTAGGAGTTTATATCTGCATATGAGCAGTATACATGTGTATGTAATTTATGAACATGTGTGAGTATACATGTACATGTGATTAGTGTATATGTGTGAGTATACTTGTGTGGGTGTTATGTGCGCATGCTTGATATTCATAGAACACTACTGCGCATGCCTGATATTCATAGAACACTACTGCGCATTCCTCACATTGATAGAACACTACTGCGCATGCCTGATATTCATAGAACACTACTGCGCATTCCTCACATTGATAGAACACTACTGCGCATGCCTGACATTTATAGAAAATAGTGCGCATGCCTGACATTGATAGAACACTACTGCGCATGCCTGATATTTAAAGAACACTACTGCGCATGCGTAATATTGACAGAACACTACTGCGCATGCCTAATATTGACAGAACACTACTGCGCATGTGTAATATTGACAGAACACTACTGCGCATGTGTAATATTGACAGAACACTACTGCGCATGCGTAATATTGACAGAACACTACTGCGCATGCCTAATATTGACAGAACACTACTGCGCATGTGTAATATTGACAGAACACTACTGCGCATGTGTAATATTGACAGAACGCTACTGCGCATGTGTAATATTGTCAGAGCACTACTGCGCATGTGTAATATTGTCAGAGCACTACTGCGCATGTGTAATATTGACAGAACACTACTGCGCATGTGTAATATTGACAGAACACTACTGCGCATGTGTAGTATTGACAGAACACTACTGCGCATGCGTAATATTGACAGAACACTACTGCGCATGCGTAATATTGACAGAACACTACTGCGCATGTGTAATATTGACAGAACACTACTGCGCATGTGTAATATTGACAGAACGCTACTGCGCATGTGTAATATTGTCAGAGCACTACTGCGCATGTGTAATATTGACAGAACACTACTGCGCATGTGTAACAGTGATAGAACACTACTGCGCATGTGTAATATTGACAGAACACTACTGCGCATGTGTAATATTGACAGAACGCTACTGCGCATGTGTAATATTGACAGAACACTACTGCGCATGTGTAATATTGACAGAACACTACTGCGCATGTGTAATATTGACAGAACACTACTGCGCATGCGTAACAGTGATAGAACACTACTGCGCATGTGTAATATTGACAGAACACTACTGCGCATGCGTAACAGTGATAGAACACTACTGCGCATGCGTAACAGTGATAGAACACTACTGCGCATGCGTAACAGTGACAGAACACTACTGCGCATGCGTGACATTGACAGAACACTACTGCGCATGCGTGACATTGACAGAACACTACTGCGCATGCGTGACATTGACAGAACACTACTGCGCATGCGTGACAACACTACTGCGCATGCGTGATATTGACAGAACACTACTGCGCATGCGTGACAACACTACTGCGCATGCGTGATATTGACAGAACACTACTGCGCATGCGTGACATTGACAGAACACTACTGCGCATGCGTGACATTGACAGAACACTACTGCGCATGCGTGACATTGACAGAACACTACTGCGCATGCGTGACATTGTGAATATGTATACATTTGTGTTAATATTATTTTTAAAAGATATACATATATATACGGCTAGGGTCGGTCGGTCGGTCGGTCGGTCGGTCGTTCTTCAACTTAATATAATAAGAGATTCTGCGATGAGTATTTCTGTGATGAGTATTTAAAAAAAATAATTTGCATTCTTTTGGTAAATTTTATGAAATTAATAGATATTAAAAATCATTGAATTGAGAAAAATTTTGAAAATAATTTAAATTTTGACAAGAATTTTATTATAATTTTTGAAAATAATTTAATTTTTGTGATGAATATCGTTACTTATAAAAATAATTGTTTTTTGATCAAGATATTTATTAAATTCCTGAAAATAATTGGATTTCTGGAAAGAATTTTGTTATTTATCAAGATAGGTAATTGAAATGAATTGTTAATTAAAAGAATGAAAAATTGAGATTTTCAAAAATTTTAATTTAAAACCTTTTACAAATTTAATTATTTCTAAAAAATTTAATTTCCTTTTAATTAAATATATATATTTAAACAATTAACTAATTTCTAAAGTATTTGAATTATTAAAATTTTTCAAAAAATTAACTTCTTTGAAATTTTGAATTAAATTCATTCAAAATTCAAATTGAAACCTTTTGAAATTAATTAATAAAATTCAATCATTTTTATAATTTTCTTAAAATGCGGCTAAGTATTAATTTTTTAGAATTAGAAATTTTTAAATAATTAATATTTGGTCGCATTTCTATTTTAAGAAATTTTTTTTAAAATTAATTTTTAGTTTTAATCTATTAACAGAAGTTAGGTAATAACTAATTTATAAATCTTAATTCTTATGCAAATTAAACATATTTATTTTTATATCTTCGTAATTAAATGTAAATAAATAAACATTTTAAATGTTCGTAGCAAACAAGAGAAATTTAAAAATTCAATCAAAACGTAAAAGTTAAAAATCAGTTGAATCTTTAGAAGAGAATGATTGATACAGCAATGAAAAAAATAGTTTTTCTCACGTCTCAAATGACGCTTAATGGCGTTGTTTTGTCATTTCGAAATGTTCGCAATGTTCGCAATGCGAAGTATGTTTTAATTTGTTAATTTACGTTTTTCTGTGTACTTGTAGGCTTGCATGGTAGAGTCAGAAGAAGAGGACGTTTCTCAAGAAACTGTTACATTCCTTTACAAGTTGAGCGAAGGAGCTTGTCCTAAATCCTATGGCTTCAATGCGGCTCGTCTCGCTGGCGTTCCTTCCTACATTACGCAAAAGGCACACGAAGTAGCGAAGCAGTTGGAACGGGAGACCAATTTAAGGCACATTTTTGCCTCTATTTGCAAACTCAACGACGAATCTAATGTCAGAACCATGATTGAGGCCATTTAACAAGATAAATTCTTACTTTAAATGTAAATGTATTTTTTCACCAGTATTAAGTTTTGTTTAACGTTTACTAAAGACTAAATCTGAAAATTTAGTCAACAAGTGTTTTCTTCTTTAATGTTATTTTGTCCCACAGTTACCGTGAAAATATTGTTTAACAAACGTAGAACGTTGCAAATCCTCGGAGAAATTAATCTCGTATATAAATATGTTCGTGCCGTGCAACTAGATCAGCTTATCTAGATCTGCTTATTTTTCTATTTTCCCTTTTTTTATTCAATAAATCATTTTTCTAAGAAAATCTATTTTTTATTTCCCAACAATTTTTATTTAATTTCAATTTCAAATCTGAAATCTAATTATTCCTTAAAATTACAACTTGCAATATTAACTATTTTCTAACATTTTTTACTAAAATTCTTCTAGTAATTCGCGAAGCCAATTATTTAAATATAAATTGTAAACTCAGGCTTAGGATCGAATTTAGGAAGAAAAAAAGTCCTTTTGAACGATTCAAAGTACAAAAAATTCCATTATTCTATTCAAAGTTATTACAAAAATTTGATTCTCTATTTTTCTGACTTCCAACTATGTATAAGTTTTTCATATTTTTTAACATTTTTCTTCAAAAATACGTTTATCTTTAAAATTTGCAATCAAATTTTTTAAAACAAACTAGTTTTTTAGAATTTTTAATTAAAGTTACTAAAAAGTCAAATTTTCAAAAATTTTAATTGGAAACTTTTTAAAATTTATGTATTTTAAAAAATTTTTATTACATATCTCTTAGAATATTTAATTATTTTCTAAAATTAAAAATTTTTTAAATTTTCTTAAAAACAATTATTTTTTATAAATTTAAAATGCAATTTTTTAATCATTTTCTTATCAATATTTATGTACAAAATTACTTGTAAATATTTTTTGAGAGGGCTTTTCTCACATGATCTTAAAATAATTTTTGGAAAATATAAAAAAATATTCAAATGTAGAAATACATGACTTCTTCAAAGTTTTAACGATAAGTCTACAAAAAGTAAATTTTTAATTTTACATAATTTGATCAATAATTGAGCCTCCCAATTCAAGAACTCGCCCGACGCTCGGATGAACACTCTAACGCCAGTCAAACGTTAAGAAAAGTCCCAAAAATTAAAATTTGAAATTTTGATTTTTTAGAAGCACTACCTTGTAGGAAATTGAATAGCGCATCTTTTTTTCCTTTGAATTTTTTTCGTAGGATGAATATTGTCGGAAATAATGACGAAAAATGGTAAAATTTTGTTTTTCAAATTTCATTGCTTTTTAAAACATAAATCATCGTATCTTCGACAATTATTGTCGAATTGACTTCAAATTTGGTATGCAAGTCTATTTGGGTTCTGGGAAGACGATAAAATGATCAGAATGTAAAAATTTCTTAATTGTTCACTAATTTGTTAATGTAAATAAAGGCTTGTCAATTTTAGGTTAACTTACCTTCGTCGACAAAAAGTCTGCGGTGAACTTTCGAATTGAAAAAACTTCCAGTGAGACATTTGTTTATTAGTATATAAGGAAGTTTTTTGGAAAATATTAGATTGATTTAGTAAAAAATGTGGAAAATATTAAGGTTTAAAGGCAGCGCGGAGAGCGCGACATCGAGTCGCGGCGTGCAAATATCACTAAACACCAACTTTATAGGACGTCAGTTGTTGAATTTGTTCTTATTACCTCGGTTATTACTCAGTACTTTAAAAAAAGCATTAAATTTCTTTGACATTTAGGAAAATAATTAAACTTTGGAAAAGAATTTTGTTATTTATAAAGATAATTGGGATTTTTACAAAATTTTTTTTCAAATTTTGTACATAGTTGAATTTTATAAGAAGAATTTTATTTTTTTTTTGAAAATAGTTGAATTTCTGCAATTATTTGTAATTTCTCCAAAATTGAATTTTTTTAGTGTTTTCAACAAAAATTTAAATTAGAAAGTTTTCAAATTCTATTATTTTTAAAATTGCTAATTTTATTTATAAAATGTAGTAAAAAGTTAGCCGCGCGAATTGTTGCTAGTTCTTTATTATTTATAGAATTTTTATGTTTGTTATAATGTTAAACATAGCGTTATAATTATACCCCAATAATTTATTTAATGCTTTTTTTAAAGTACTGAGTAATAACCGAGGTAATAAGAACAAATTCAACAACTGACGTCCTATAAAGTTGGTGTTTAGTGATATTTGCACGCCGCGACTCGATGTCGCACTCTCCGCGCTGTCTTTAAACCTTAATATTTTCCACATTTTTTACTAAATCAATCTAATATTTTCCAAAAAACTTCCTTATATACTAATAAACAAATGTCTCACTGGAAGTTTTTTTAATTCGAAAGTTCACCGCAGACTTTTTGTCGACGAAGGTAAGTTAACCTAAAATTGACAAGCCTTTATTTACATTAACAAATTAGTGAACAATTAGGAAATTTTTACATTCTGATCATTTTATCGTCTTTCCAGAACCCAAATAGACTTGCATACCAAATTTGAAGTCAATTCGACAATAATTGTCGAAGATACGATGATTTATGTTTTAAAAAGCAATGAAATTTGAAAAACAAAATTTTACCATTTTTCGTCATTATTTCCGACAATATTCATCCTACGAAAAAAATTCAAAGGAAAAAAAGATGCGCTATTCAATTTCCTACAAGGTAGTGCTTCTAAAAAATCAAAATTTCAAATTTTAATTTTTGTGACTTTTCTTAACGTTTGACTGGCGTTAGAGTGTTCATCCGAGCGTCGGGCGAGTTCTTGAATTGGGAGGCTCAATTTCTGCAAATTTTTGAGTAAATCAATAAAGATTGATATTCCTCTTGTTTAAAAAATTTTCTTTATGAAAATTCTTTTTTTTATGATCTTAAAATAATTTTTGGAAAATATAAAAAAATATTCAAATGTAGAAATACATGACTTCTTCAAAGTTTTAATGATAAGTCTACAAAAAGTAAATTTTTAATTTTACATAATTTGATCAATAATTTCTGCAAATTTTTGAGTAGATCAATAAAGATTGATATTCCTCTTGTTTAAAAAATTTTCTTTATGAAAATTCTTTATTTTTTTAAATATCATTTTTCGGACAATTTTTTTTAAATTAAAAAAAAATTGAGAATTATTTAAATGACTCATGTAGTTATTTTCCAAATTTTCAGTCAGATTTCTTAAAAAATACGATTATATTTCAAAATAATTTTTAAATGTAAAAAAAAATAAAATTCCTTAAAACATAAAATGTAGGTAGGTAATTCCATTAAATTTGACAAAATTTTTAATTATTTTCGGGAATTGAAAAAATTTTAATTACAATTTTTTCAAAAACCTAATTTTTTCAGATTTTCTGAATTAAATTATTCAAAACTCAATAACTGTTTTAAAAAAAATATTTAAAAATTTATTGTTATTTATTTTAATTGAAAATTCAAATAATTTAAATGAAAAACCTTTTGAAATTGAATTATTTCTAAAAATCCCAGTTATAACGCTTCTAATATTCAATTATTTTCTAAAATATTAATTTAAATTATTTTTTAAGTCAATTCTTATTTTATTACAAAATTCGACTACGGAAATTGAATTATTTAAATAGAAACATTTTTGTAACATTTACTTATTTTCTAAATTTTCAGTCATAATTCTTAAAAAACACAATTAAAATAAATTAAAATAAATATTTCAATACAATTATTTTCAATATTCCGTAATTTGCAGAAAAAATGGGAGTTTGGTGAATAAAAAACCATTGTTTGCGTACAAAATTTTATTACTGTGAGTAGAAAAATGATATTTACGACAAATGCGATGTATTACAAAACCACCTAATTTTATGTTCACACCAAAAAAAGTAAGAGAAACGATTCACATTAATTAAATGTGTTTTTTGAATGCGTGTAAAAATGAAAATCGGCATTTGAAATAAATACTTTATTCAAGCAGCTTTTTTTTTGTTTTTTTTCATCAACCAATGTGAACCGATTGAAACTGACAAAAAGTATTAATTTAATGGAGATATACACTATGCAGTGATAAATATGCAAGACAATGAGAAAAACTATCAGACGCGCAGGATATTGTTTCTACTTTCCTTTATTTTTCCTTAGCAAGTAAAAAATAAAAGAAAAGAGTAACAATCTACGTACTTGATACAAGTTTTTACTTTAACATGATACACAGTTACTAAAATTTAATAATCTCAAAGCAGTTTGGGTAAAAGGCGAAAAAAAGGAGAGCGAAAATATTTTCTCTCCTTCAAATGAAATTTCGGCGAAGGTCAAAATTCTTGAATATTAAAAAAAATTGTATCCTACTCGTTGAATAACAGTTAAAAATAATAATCGAACGCACATGAGTATTTTATCAGTAAATATCAATTTATTATGTCTACTGTTAGTTTTGAGACACAATTTCTTTCTCTCTTTCTAATTCTAAATTATTCAATTGAGAAAATGTCGTCCGAATTGTCATACGTAGACGTAATGGAAAAAAGAAATTAATTCAGAGAAGGCACAAAGATCAAAAATGTCTTTTGGACTTAAAATTTTATTTTTCAATTCAGAGTAGAACCACATTTTATATATAGAATATTTTGTTCTATACAAGGAATTTTCGAAATCGCTGTCAAATTTTCGTTATATTATTTTCTAACTGATCTTTTTTATATATATAATTATATTTATATTCCAAGTTGTCTAGAGTCGTCGGGAAAAAGAAGAAGAAAAATACGAACGTAACTTAAAATCAAATTGAATTTTCTGACTAAAAATTTCATTGTTGAAGGAATTTTCAAATTGAATTTCTCCAAATTAAAGTGACTAAATATTCTAATACTTTCTTCAGGGTTATCAATAATAAATTAAGGGAATAAGGAGAAAATTTTAGGTAGATGGACCCTTTGTAATTTGATTTTTTTTTTTTTGATCTGATGAAGAGAGGGGGAATTCAAAGGGAGATCTTTTTGAAATTCGTGGCCGGATTTACCAGAGACCGGATGAATAGCCACCTGGAGGTACGCGATTACGCTGAACCTTATTGCTCATGTTTCCCGAGCCAGGCGATGAATCGTTAGACTTTTCAGAGCCGCTGGAGTTTGCGTTTCCACTTCCGTTTTGAACCACGTTGTTCTGCTGGTCTGATCCGTATCCAGTACCCGTCACAGGGTTACCATCTACAAAAAAGAAAATTACTCTTTTTAGCAAAATACTTACAATTTCACACTGCAATTCTAATATGTATTTCTACAAATAAATTCACGTCCAAGATTTATAATTTTCTCTCAAAATTATTTTTTTCTTCAATTTTTCCAAATTGAATTCATTTTTTTCTATTTTTTAAATAAAAAACTTAAGGAACGTGCATAAAAATTCCCCATCATGCTTTATTTAAAAAATTTTAAACAAAATATCTTTCCAAAAAAGAAGATTTCCAGACAAAATTTTGACTCTCTCTCTCTCTCTCTCTCTCTCTCTCTCACCCTAAAGAATATTCTGATTCACTCTTAAAATGATAAGATACTCAAAAAATTCTTCTATTACATTTATTTACGAATTTCTTTAATTCTGAAATTATTCCAAAACATCAGCAAACTTCTTTTTTAAATATATATTTAATCATTATTATTTTTCCATAGGAATTAAATTTTTCAAAAATTTCAAATTCAAACCTTTTTAAAATTAAATATCTTATAAAAAATTGTTATACATATATAACAATTTGTTATTATATAATTTATAATAATTAAAGATGACCGAATCATTATTTTATATTATAAGAATATTGTTACGTATTTTAATTTTTGAAAAAGTTTTTCGAGAATTTTCAAATCCATTTGTTTACACTTCAATTTTGCGATATTCCGATTATTCGGAAATTCTTCAATTAAATATTCATTGCTATAATGCTTTTAATAAATAATAATTATAATATAATTAATATTATCTAAAATTTTAACTCAAATTCATTTTTAAATCAATTTTTATTAGAAAATTCTACGAGAATTCAATTATTTAAATACAAAAATAATTTATTGAATAATTGAATGCTTCTTAAAATTTAATTCTCATAAACAATTTTGCCAACAAATTTTTATACATTTGAATTCTTTTGACGAATTTAAATAAAATTTTTAAGAATAATTACATTTTTCGAGAAATACGATTAAAATTCTATTAAAAATAAAAATGTTATTATTTATGAAAATAATTGTATTTCTGCGAAGAATCCAAAAAGAACTTTTACAGTTGAAGTACTAATCTAGTGGTTATACCTAAAATTACCTTAAAAAATTGTACTACTTTTAACAAAAAAATTGAAAATCCGTTTACTCAGAATCCCTGCAACCGATTTAGAAAACAGCGTTTTGAGAAAAACGAAGTTAAAGTTTAAGTACGATTTTTTCAGATTTTTTGTTAAATGGTTTTTATAAGAGCTTAACAAATTTTAATTTACTATCCTAGGTCAATAAAGTAAGTTATAAGCTTCCTGATAAAGTGATAAGCCTTTTTATGTTAGTCGCGAGCCTTTTTATTGTCATAAACCGTACAAAATTGACTAATTCAATGCATTTGTCCAAAAACATGCACTGACATTTATAAGGATATCTTGCGAACCGAACAAGATTTTTTAACGTTTTTGGTCTTAAATTAAAGATGAGACTTAAAGGATCACACCTATATAATTTTTAAATTTTGTCTGCAATTTTTAAAAAATATGTCAGAGTTTAAAAAATTGTCAAAAAAAATTTTAATTTTTTAATTTTCTTTTTAAAATTTGTCGATATATAAAATCTTTGTGTAATTTCCTAAGATTTTGAATTGTATATCATTTAACATAGAATATTATGAGCTTTCAAATGGTAGATTTGTTAAGTTTCTGACATTCGTTTTTACAGGAATACCTATCATGATTTAATGATTGGTATGTTTTTGGGCCATGCACGTGGAGCCACTCTGTCGTACTATCTAACTTTTGATAGGAGCTAAATTTCGTCATTATAATTATTTTAAACCTTTATTCTAGAGATATTAAGGATTTTTAAAAAGCAACAACAAAAAATTCGAAAAAAATTTTTTTTTCATGAGTAATCCCCCTTAAAAAATAATTGAATTTTAAATTAAAAATTAAAAAAAGAAAAATTAAAATTTCTAAAAACAATTCAATTTCGGAGAAGAATTTTATTATTTATAAAGATAATTGAAATTTTGAAGAAATTTTTTTTAATTTTTTGAATATAATTGAATTTTTGCAATAATTTGTATCTTCTCCAAAATTAAATTTTTTTTATTGTTTTTAACTATAATTCTCCTATAAATCCATAATTTTTAATAAGTTATTTAAATGTATATTAAAAAATTTAACGAATTCCAGAAGAATTTGAATTATTAAAATTTTTCAACAATCTAAGTTGAAATTTTATAAAATTAGTTTATATTCTTGCAAACAAAATTTTAAAAATTTTTTAAAATTCTATTCAAATTTTTCTTAGAGAATTTCTTTCAATTTTTTTTAAATAATGGAGTTTTTTTAATAATTTTAATTGAAAATTTTTGAATTTTTTTTTAATTTTATGAAGAATTTGTTTCAAGTTTTTAATATAATCGTGTTTGTTAATAGGATAAGTGCACTAGCTTCTGCGGCATTCCAGCCAAGATATCTTTTGCATAGAAAAAAAATATTTATGGCAAAGGAATTAAATTAAAATTTTTTAAAATTTTTACTACAATTAATAGCCTATAAAATTATAGCATTTGATTAAATGTAAATAATTAAAAAGAATATCAAAAGCGTCTAATCCTGCGCGCTGTGTCAATTGCGCGCATCAGTTTCTGCGGCCAAAATAACATGCATTTAGATGTCATTTTGCCTACATAAACTAAAGCACATGTATTTCACATGCGTGTTTCAGATTCTGCGGTAAGCAAAATTTAAAATTAAATAATTATAGTAATTTTATTTAAGATGTATATCTTTTTAGACAATTTTATCAAATATTGTTCAAAATAATTTTTTCAATGTTTTCTAAACATTAATAATTTCTTAAGTGATAAATAATTATACATTTAACAAACGCGCAGCAATTGAAGCATCCGCAGCAATTGACGCACTTACCCTAATTGAAATTAAACATTTAATTATTGAATTTTATTAAAATTTTTAGAAAATAATTAAATTCTTTTCAGAATTGATTAAAATAATTTAATTCTTTCGAAGAATATATACTATTAAAGGTATTGACAAAAATATTGAATTCTTTCAAAAAACATTTAATTGATTTCGTTAATCATAATTAATAAGTTTACTATTCAATTTTATTAAAATTATTGATAGAAAATTAAATTCTTTTGAAGGATTTCTTTAAGTTTTTTGAAAATAATTTTTTTATGATTTTAATTGAAAATTTTGAAAATAATTGAAACTTTTTTTCAACTTTTTAAAATATTTGTGTCTGTTAATAATAATTAAAAATTTGATTATAGAATTATATTAAAATTACTGAAAATAATTAAATTCCTGATGAGAATTTTATTATTTATGAAAGTAATTTAATTCTTGTTAAGAATTTTATTATTTATAAAAATAATTGAATTGTTTCGAAGAATTTATTAAAATTTTAGAAAATAATTAAATTCCTGCAAATAATTTTACTATTTATAAAAATAATTGAATTTTTCCGTAAAATGTTTTTTATTTATGAAAATTATCAGGCCGTTTTGCGAACAATATTCATTCAAGGCTTTAAGTTTTTTCTTCAATCTCAGAGGTGTATCGTCTAATAAAACCAAATCGTCAGCGTAGGCTTGTAACAAAATCTCTTCTTTACTGTTGACTGAGATGCCATTACAATCCTGCTCAATTAAATAAGACAACTCAAAAATATTAGTAGTATGTGTCGTGGATTATTTTATATTAGGGGAGAGTCTCCAGTTGTGAGACGGGTTTTACTTTTGACCCGTAAATTGTAAACGGGTTAACGAAATTGTAAATAAAATACACCGTTCGAAAGGTAACAGAAATACGCAACTTTTATTAAAAGAAAGTATAGTGTTTCGATGAACTCAAAAAATTTTACGATACATTTTCCGAGCACATCGCTTTTTTCAAAAAAAAAAAATGTCTCCAGTTGTGAGACACTCATTAAAAATTGCTAAAATTTAATAAGTTTGACATAAAATGTTATGTTTAGTAGAAATAATTAAATATATTATTATATACTAAATAATAATATTTATTCGCCAGAATATGACTATCAAATAAACACAATTTAATAGCTTCAACAAGAGCCTTAAAATTGATTTCTTCTGAACCAATTGACTTTTTTCCACTTGACATGCCTAAAAATACTAGAAAAAAATGAAAACAACATTTAAATAGTATGCCAGCAAAGTCGTATTTTTTATGCTGCCCAGATGGGTGTTGACACCGTCTCACAACTGGTGATATGCCGTGTCTCACACCCAGAAATTGGCGCTATTTTGAAAAAGGAAAATTAAATTATTTTCAACCGTAGATTGGAACAATGCAATATTGCATCACAAAATATAAGGAAAACACTAAAAGAAAATGCATTACATTTACCTTTTCTAATTAATTAACTTGGAAAAAAGTACTTTGCATTTATTGAAAAAACGCTTTTTAGTCGATTATCACACACAGTGTTGGTATTTAACAAAAACAGTTTATATATTCGCTTCCGCGTACACGAAAAAGTTGGCTCATATAAAAAGAAATGTTTTTATATAAACCAATCGTCTTTTTAATATTGCATGTTAAAAAAAATTTACTGTCTCACAACTGGAGACTCTCCCCTATAGTTTGTTTTATTTTGTGTAATAGACGGAATTGTCTCAATAAAGGAATAATAATAATAATATTTATGAAAATAATTGAATTCTTGCAAAGAATTTTAGAAAATTTTTTTAATACAATAAACAAGAATAATTAATTATGTACTAAATTAATAAATTTAAAGAATTTTTAAACTGAAACTATTTAAAAATTCAAGTTTATATTTTTTTTTTTCTTCTTAAATGACTTGAAGCTAGGCAAACTGTCAGAACACACACTCTTATATACCAACTAGTTTTGCGTTTCTACAGAACGACTTTTTGAGGTTAGGAGTACTCGCATTTGCCTGGACCACCCGTCAATGGGTTTTCTCGCCAGAGAAGA